GATACAAAACACGGTAGATGTTATACATATTACTAACACTAGACATCAAAAATGAAAAGATAATGTGAAAAAGAAATTCACATTTGTTTACAAATATAATGATTTATGGGCATTGATAACAAAGAAGCAGCAGTATGATTGCTTTATGGTAGCCTAGTGTAATTGATAGGATTGCTTCACAGTAGCCTAGCCTATATACTAACAAATGAATCATTATAAAAAATTTTATGGCATACAGTATTGCAGTCATATTTATAATACAGTAATGTAACTTTTTTTAAAAAATCATTTACTTGTGATTAAAGGCTGATAGTTTCTCCAATTATGAGGGAGAGGCATACTGTAGTTACATAATTCTTTGAAAGCAAAGTTATAAAACAGTAAGAAAACTAACTTCTGGGACACCTGGGTGGCTCAGTCAGTTAAGCGTCTGCCTTTGGCTCAGGTCATGATCCTGGGGTCTGAGCCCCACGTCGGGCTCCCTCAGCGGGAAACCTGCTTTTCCCTCTCCTTCTCCCCCTGCTTGTGTGCATGTGCGCATGCTCTCTCTCTCTCACATAAGTAAATAAAAAAAAAAAGAAAAACTAACATCTGATTAATTTTGTATTAAATATTGCTCATATTGCTTAGTATAAGCTAAGCACTTCTATACAAGTCTTGCGTAGATGACTACTTAGGCAATGATGATGACACAGAAATGCCTCATATGGCTCTTGCCATGCAGTTATTAGATTTTCACATGAAGACATTCACATATACACAACAGATAAGTTTATTAACTATATGGCATGATGATTACTATTCATTAAGTGGAAGTGGATTGTCATAAAGGTCTTCATCCTCATCTTCATGTTGAGTAGGTGGAGGAAGAGGAGGGGTTGGTCTTGCTGTCTCGGGTGGCAGAGTGGAACAGGTGGAGGAGTTGGAAGGGGAGGCAGGAAAGAGGCACACATGGAATAACTTTACTGAAATATGTTGTAATTTCTGACATTTTTGCTCTTTCATTTTTTAAAAAACATTACAGTACCACTGTTTGCTTTGGTTTCAGTGCTAGTATCCTAGAAAGGTCCATGTTGTAAAAGAAATCAATAGCAGTCTTGAATAGTCAGATCCTTTCTGCCAGGTTGTCTAATACCAGTTTGTTTTTGGTCACTGCTTCTTATACACCTTCTTTCTCGTCGTCTGGCACTGGTTTGCAAGCATTCATCTCCATTAAGTTATCTTCTGTGTTAGCTCTTAAATTTCTCTTAAGATCCAAATCTTGAAACGTTTCACCCTCTACCTTTTTTGTCATACCCACCAACTCTTCCTTGATTGGCTCTGTTGTAAATCCTATGAAGTCATATACAATAAATGGGCATAGTTTTCTCCAGCAGGAATTTGTTTCATGTTGATGGCTTTCATGGCTTTTTCTACAACGATGCTGTAGTTGTGTAGTGGTGTAATCCTTCCAGACTTTCATATTTTCTCATCAGAATTCTCTTCCATAGGGTTGACAATCCTTTTCAAAGAATACCATGTAATGAGCTTTAAAGGTCCTTATGACCCCCTAATATAGAGGCTGATTATAGAGAGCTTGTGTTTGGGGGCAGGTAGGCCACTTCGATGCCCTCGGTGTTGAGCAGTTCTGATCACAGTCCCGACTGCATTTGCGCAAAATGGTAGAGTTAGCCTACCTACTCCCTTCTTGCCTTAAATCCTGGAGCTTACTTTTTTCTCTTCCTGATAAATACTTTGTGGCATTTTTTTCCCCCTCCAGAATAAGGTACTTTTGTCTGTATTAAAAATCTGTTCAGGGGCACCTGGGTGGCTCAGTTGTTAATAAGCGTCTGCCTTTGGCTCAGGTCATGATCCCAGAGTCCTGGGATTGAGCCCCGCATCAGGCTCCCTGCTCAGCGGGAGGCCTGCTTCTCCCTCTCCCGCTCCCCCTGCTTGTGTTCCCTCTTTCGCTGTGTTTCTCTCTGTCAAATAAATAAATAAAATCTTAAAAAAAAAAAAAAACATTCTTCCATTAAAATCTTTAAAAAAAAAAAATTTGTTCAGGCAGATATCCTTTCTCCTCAGTGATTTTCTTGATGGCATCTGGGAACTCGTCTGCTGCCTCTTGGTCAGCAAGAGCTGCTTTTTCTGTTATCTTGACATTTTTTCATCCAGTCCTCTTTCTAAAATTATCATACCATCCTTTGCTGGCATGAAATTATCCAGCTTTAGATCTTTCACCTTCCTTTTGCTTTAAGTTGTTACATAATGACTTCACTTTCTTCTCGAATCATATTAGAGTCTATAAACATACCTGCCTTATAGCAATCCTGCACCCATATAAAAGCTGCATTTTCAATATGAGATAAAAAGGTATTTTGCAAAAAGTGTAAGGTTTTTGCATCTGCTGGCATAGCTGCAGTATTGGCTTCATGAATTTTCTTTTTTTACAGTGGTCCTTATGCTGGATTCATTTATCTTGAAGCAGCAGGCAAGTGCAGCTGCAGATCTCAGTCTACAGTATATATCAAGCAATTCAGCTTTTTCTTGTAATATCATGACTTTTCTTTGATTCTTGGAAGCACTTAAAGCAACACTAGTGGCACTTCTTATGGGTCCCATGACATTACTCAAGGTTTATGGTATTGCACTAAACACAGTGAAAAATATACAAGAACTGCAAGAGGTCACTTTATACTGCAATATGCAATTTACTGGAGAGATGAACTGCTCACATAGAGATGGGTAGCATCATACAGTGTTTTAAGCAGATATTAGCAACACTTGGGCTCATGGCAGTAGCAACAGAAGGTGGTTTAAAATTATTACGATAGTACAGTACATACTACAATTCATTTTATGCAGTTATGATTTAATACCACATCTTTCCATTCATTTATATTTCTCTCAACTGCTAATGGCGTCATGTGTGCTCTGTTACATATTTTTGTGCATGTTTTGATCAATTTTAATTTTTTATACTTAGTATTTTATGGTAGTAAATGATAAAATAGACTAGTATTTACATATATTTTATGCATTCATGACAACTATTTCTTAGTTTTTTTGCTATTTCTAGGCTACATGGTTTGTCTGTGAGTTTTTTCAATTTGTCACAAATCTCCAAAAGATTCTCCAGTATATTTATTGAAAAAAATCTGCCTATACGTGGATGCGTGCTATTCAAATCCATGTTGTTCAGAGTTTAACTGTATTTTATTTATTTTTAAAAAGATTTTATTTATTTGAGAGAGAGAGAATTAGAGAGAGAGAGAGACCACATGCGAGGGGGGAGGGTCAGAAGGAGAAGCAGAGCAGGGCCTTCAGGATCATGACCTGAGCTGAAGGCAGTCGCTTAACCAACTGAGCCACCCAGGCACCCCTAACTGTATTTTAAAAGCATCTATGTTAAAATAAATAAAAACATCTATATTTCCATTTCTTTGCATTGTCCGTTCATGTCTTTTGCCTATTTTTTTTGTTGGGTTATTGATCTTTTTCATATTGCTTTATAGGAACTCATTAGAAATTGTGGAAAGTCGCTCTTCAGTATATATTTAGCAAATACTTTTTCTCAATTTCTTATTTATCTTTGACTTTCTTACATTCTTTATTGTGTCAGAGGTTATTATTTTCACATAATTTTTTTAACCTTTCTACCCTCTAACCTGCCTAAGCACCAAAATGGTTGGTACCATGCCTAATAATTCAGGTTAAATGATAAAACACCTAGAAAAATATGCAGAAGATAAAAGCAATTATTCTTTTGGATATTTTGCTTTTAGAAATTTCTTAGATGGATAAATGATAAAACAGGAAAATCAGCAAATATAATACCAAAGGAGAAGGAGGTTTCTTTCAAAAAAGAAAGGAGGTTTCATAGATTATCTGCTTGAACTAGCATTTCGTAAGAATCTACAGTGTATAAAACTATGTGCTGGATATTGTCTTTTTTTAATTTAAATTCAATTAATTAACATACACTATATTATTAGTTTCAGATGCAGAGTTTAGTGATTCATCAGTCTTATATATACCCAGTGCTCATTACATCATTGTGCCCTCCTTAATGTCCATCACCCAGTTACCCCATCCCTTCACCCCCTTCCCCTCCAGCAACCCTCAGTTTGTTTCCTATGATTAAGAGTCTTATTGCTGGAAATTGTCTTAAAGGGGATAAGCTTTAGTGAATTTAGAGGTAAGGAAAGATAATGGTAATAACTAATGTAATTAGGGAAGAGATCAAATTTAGGAAAGGTGAGGCCATCTAGCAAGTAGTTCGCGGCTGTTTTGCTCTTAAGCCTCCTGACCAACTTCTCAAGTTCAATCAGATTTCATAATCTCCATTCTTTGTTGGAAGCAAGTTCCAGGGATTTAGCCTGCTTTCTGTTTTCTTCATTCCCTTCTTATTTATTTTTGGATCTTTGTGATTTAGTGTCTGCCAAGACTGGTTGTGAAATAAGATAGTCTCCCCATCCAATCCCTTTCATTGTCCCTGAAGATAAAGCCCTTAATGATAATCGTTTGTTGCTAATCACTGTGTGCACCAATAAGGGATTAAAAAAAATAACAAAATGGGGAAGCTGGAAATTACAAGGATATATTTCTAAGTTCTTATAATAATGGGCTGGAGTTCTGGAATCCCAAGCTGAGATGGTGAAAAGAGGGTCAGCTGCTGTTTTTACCTTCAGATTTTATCCTTGCTGGTCCTCTGCCATCAAGATTCCTGTTTTGTCTGAGCTTTTGTTCTCTGAAGGCTATATTGACTCCTTCCTTCATGTTGACAAAATAGTCTGTTTTTAATTTCTGTGTAGAGCTAGTCAACCAGAGCAGTAGGTAATCTCTTCTTTCAGGTGTAGCCTATCAACTTATTGGACTGTACTTTCTTCTCTTTTGTTTCAGGGGATAGTTGCCTTTTTTTTCCCCCTCCATAGTTAATCTTCCCATTGGTTGGCTGATACCGAAATTTACTTTTATTCACATTTTTGATGTTTATATTTGGATTGTTTATTTGCTTTTAGGTAAAATTTGGAAATACCACCTTTAAAACAGATGTGTATCTCAAGTCCCTCAACCCTCAGTGGAACTCAGAATGGTTTAAATTTGAGGTAAGTTTTTAATTTTTTAAAAAGTGTTTATTAGAGAGAGCAAGAGAAAGAGCACAAGCAGAAGGGGGGGCAGAGGGAGAGGGATAAACAGACTCCCCGCTGAGCAGGGACCCCCCCCCCCGCAACATGGGGCTCGATGCCAGGGTCCTGGGATTATGATTTGAGCTGAAGGCAAGATGCTTAACCGACTGAGCCACCCAGGTGCCCCTTAAGGTAAATTTTTAAATATCAGCATTTTTTAGTATATATTTTTGATGCGACCCCTTCCCCCCAGGAATGATAGGAGTACCTTTTATTTCAGGTATAGTAGTCTTCCTACACCATAAAAATACTTTCTTTTTTGCTTAACCAAGATTAAGTTTTTAAAAAATAATGTTGTAGTTAAGAAAATACAGTTTATGAATGCAAGAACACATTTAAAAAAACAATCTCTTAAAGTATTACATTATTATTACTGTAATAGTCTCTGGATTTTAGCATATGCCAAAAACCACTTAAGGATAGTGTACAGATTAAATTTTAAAAAAAATTGTAGTCAAAAGTATATATTAAAAAATGCCATTTTAGCCAATTTTAAGTATAACTCAGTTGCATTAATTACTTTCACAAGTGTCACTACTTGTACAAGCATCACTACTATTTCCAAAATTTTTTCATCACTCCAAACAGAAACTACTCATTCAGCAGTAACCCTCACCTCTTCTCCTAGTCCCTAATAACATCTAACCTACTTCCTGTCTCTTGAATTTTCCTGTGTTAGATACAAGTGGAATCATTATGATATTTGTCTTTTTGTGTCTGGCTTTCACTTAGCATAGTGTTTTCAAGTTTATCCATGTTGTATCATGTATCAGAATTTCTTTACTTTTTATGGCTGAATAATATTCCTCTGTGTGTGTGTGTGTGTGTGTGTTTATGTGTATGTATCACATTTTGTTTATCCATTTATCTGTTGATGGGCATTTGGGTTGTTTTCACTTTTTGGCTACTGTGACTACTACTGCAGTAAACATTAGCGTACAAGTATCTGTTTTAAGTACCTGTTTTCAGTTCTTTTGAGTATATGCCCAGAAATGGAATTGCTGGGTCATATGATAAATTGTATGTTTAGCTTTTTGAGGAACTGCCAAACGGTTTTCCATAGTGGCTACACCATTATACATTCCCACCAGCATGTATGAGAATATTCTGATTTCCCACATCTTTGTCAAGCTTTGTTATTTTCTGTTTTTTTTTTTTTTTTAAATCATGCCATCCTAGCAGGTGTGAAGTGATGTTTGCAGTGTAATTTTAATATGCATTTTTGTCATGATTGAGCATGATATGCTTTTTTATGGTTAAGGACCATTTGCCTTTCTTTTACTTTGAACTGCCATCTCATATTTTAACTCCCCAAAGAAGATATTTAGAGATGACATTATGGAGGTAGACTTCACAGGACTTGGTGACTAGCTTAATGTGGAAAATGTAGATGTGATATGGTATGTCATTGGTTTTGATTTGCATTTCCCTAATGACTAATAATGTTGAGCCTCTTTTCATGTGTTTATTGGCTGTTTGTATGTCTTCTTTGGAAAACTGTTCAAGTTCCTTGCTCATTTTTAAGTTGGGTTATCTTTTTTTTTTTAAGTTGGGTTATCTTATTAGTAATTTTCATGATAGTAGGACATTAAAATTTAAGAATATTAATTTCATTTTATTGATGATGCAGTACCAGAATTTTTAAAGCTGCAAAGTACTCAAGTAGCTTAGGTAACTTTAAAAGATAATATATTTGTACTTACTTTTCTGAAATAAGGGATTTAAAAAAAATTTTTTTTTTAAAGATTTTATTTATTTATTTGACAGGAAGAGAGAGACAGCGAGAGAGGGAACACAAGCAGGGGGAGTGGGAGAGGGAGAAGCACGCCTCCCGCCAAGCGGGGAGTCTGATGCGGGGCTCGATCCCAGGACCCTGGGATCATGACCTGAGCTGAAGGCAGATGCTTACTGACTGAGCCACCCAGGCGCCCCGGGATTTTGATAACGTTAGTGAGATTTAGCACCTAAAGTTACCAGTCATTTCCCTTAAAATTTACTAAGTTTACTATTTTGGCTAGTACTTCTAATAATGTATTTTGTGTGAAAGATGTTCTTAAACTTTGTGTTTATAGTTAACATTAATTATATACTTTTTTAAACTTGTTTGTCAGTTGCTATTAGCATTAATTTATATGTTGTGAACTCTCAAATATCATGAACAAGTGGATGTTTGGTTTTCTTTTATATAAAAGAAACATTGGGCCAGGCAGTATAATGATATTTTGGAAGCTCCATGTAATCATTTGGAACCTAGGATCCTTTTGTCTTCTCCATCATCCGTAGTCTGTGCCTTCCAATATTCATGGTCACATTAGCCTCCAAGTTAGCAGCTGGAGTTCTAGTGATCCACATCAGTGTTCTAGGCCTGGAAGAAAAAGCAGGAGAGGTGGTGATGAGTTAATATATATTTTTCAGCTGAGCAAGCCCTGTTTGAGAAATTTTTCCCTATCCTATCTAGTTCTATATAATGATTTATGCTTGTTATCTCAGTAGTTACAAAGGAGGGTGGGAAATTTAGTCTTTTAACTGGAGAAATTGCTGTTCAACTAACATTTTTTTAAGACATTTATGAGAAAGTCTTAATTTATATTATTTCATGATTTGATATTGGCTCAATTAAATCTATGAAATATCCTTAGTTATTTTATTAAAATTAATTAAAATTAATTCCTGAATTTCTTTCTTAGATTATTTGTATTATTAGCTACCTATATATATCATAAACAATTCTAGTCATTTAGTTGGTATGGAGACCTATAGTGTCAGGGAAGGAATACCTTAGTGTACCAGTACAGAAGATGAGGGTACTCATAGGTAAATGTGTAAGAGGTTAAATAAGTGTACACAAAACATGTTATTAATGGAGGTAAAAATTGAAGGGATGTCTTTGGAGCAGTGGTTAATGGCTTAGTTTATGACTCTTTCCCTTTTACTAAATATATAGGTAATGCCATAGTATGGAATGCCATTGATGACATGATTTAGAATGGCTTGGAAATCAAAATGATTATTTTAACATTTCACTATGGAAATTTTCAAATATGCATAAAAGTAGGCAGGGTACCTCTCCATTATTTACCTTTATTTTTACCTATTCATCGTGCTGTTCTTGTTTTACCCATTACCCCACGCCCTACTTGGAGGCTGGGGTGGCAGGAATATTTTAAAGCAAATTCAAAATATTATGCAGTTTCATCCATAAATTTTTAGTTATGTCTCTCTTTTAGAGAGGTAGCCCCTTTTTTGAAAACAAATCATCCAGTCACATTATTACATCAGTGATATCAACAATAATTCCTTCTACTTTAATTCTTAAAATAATCTTCAGAGGTTAGATTATTAATCTAAAATCAACAAGAAACTAAATGGAATGGAGAAAGGCATAATATTTCATAATTAAGTTTAAAAAATTAACCAAAGTATATAGGTTTGCAGAGATATCACTTGACCAAAGCATATGTAAGGAAAATACAGAGATTTTAGTTAACCACAAACTGTCTTAATGAACAGTATGGTATATCTGCTGTAATGACAAACATTCATAGGCTACATTTAAAACGTATAGTATTTTAGTTACAGGAAATAATCCTTTTATATTCCATCCTTACAAATATCTGTGATATTGTGTTCCATCTAGCCACTACATTTGATGAGGAGTACTGGCAAATTGGAGGATGATATGGTATACAGAAGATATGATATTCCATATCTGAAATAATGAACATGTCTTCCAAAGGGAAAAATCTTTTTTTGCCTCATTCTTTGCCTTAGTCAGTTTGCCCTGTTGTAACAGAATACCGTAGAGTGGGTGGCTTAAACAATAGCCTTTTTTTTTCTGACATTTCTGGATGCTGGGAAGTCTGAGATAGGGTACCATCATGGTTTTGTTTTGCTGAGGTCCCTCTTTCTGGCTTGTAGATAGTGATCTTCTTGCTTGTCCTTTCATAGCGGGGAGAGAGATCGTCTCTCCCCGTCTTTACTTGTAAGGGTACCAATCCCATTTGAGAGGACTCCACCCTTTTGACCTAATTACCTCCCTAAGACTCCATCTCCAAATACCATCATTTTGGGGATTAGGACTTCCATATACAGATTTTCAGGGGACAGAAACATATAGTTCACTGCATTCTCCATTGTAGTCCCTCTTTTTAGCCAGTGCTTGGCATGTGATAAGTAATTGATAGAAAGTAAAAGGAGAGAGAACAAAATTTCACTTACTTAATTCATGAACTTTAGTTGTTTTTTTTACCAATGATATATTAGTTTTTCCTACAGTTTTATTCTCTGAAATTGTCTTTAGAAATGATGGTACCATGGTGCTCATTAGCATCCTTGCTCTCCTGTAGATAATGTTTGGACTCATTTTTACTGGATATTATAAGTAGACTAGTAAAATACAGGATAATATGTAGAAAAAGAAATTAAACATGGGCCTGACACAGGATAATATGTAGAAAAAGAAATTAAACATGGGGTCCAACACGGCCTGAACTCACGACCCTGAGATCAAGACCTGAGCTAAGGTCAAGAGCTGGATGCCCAACCAACTGAGCCACCCAGGTGTCCTGAACTGTACTTTTTTTCCTTAGAAATTTGGCATCTTTTATAGAAAAAGGGGTTATGACTTATGTGTGTGTGTGTGTTAATTCCTTTACCTTTGTGCTTAGAGATAGATCTGTAAGGTTTTTTTCTAGAAATAAGTAATCTTTTACATTTGGTATATGTATATATTTATGGTAATGAAGACTTAAAAATTAAAAGATTTAATTTTAAGGTATACTTTTAGGTGGATGATGAAGATTTACAGGATGAACCTCTGCAGATCACAGTTCTTGACCATGACACTTACAGTGCAAATGATGCCATTGGTAAAGTGTACATTGATATTGATCCTTTACTCTACAGTGAGGCTGCAACAGTCATCTCAGGATGGTTTCCAATTTATGATACTATACATGGTAAGGAGTATATAATTTGAAGTAATCCCTGTTGAATTTATATAATATAGTAAGTAAATTCATTATTTAAAAATCATCTTGTAAATACAGTGGAGTTTTCTAGAGGTTTTATGATATATAATATTACCACACATTGAATGCAGAGCAGAAATAGAATCTAACTGTATGCCATGAAGCTAGACATTATAGAGAACTACAAAAATGTAAGTACTATTCTTATTACTAGTTTTTTTGTTTTTCAAAATGTAGTTATTTTTATAAAAATGTTTATAGTAATAAGTAAATATTTTTTAAAATTCTCAGCTTTAATTTTAATTTTCATTCTCAATTTTAATTTAAATTTAAAATTTTTAAAAAGATTTTATTTATTTGAGAGAGAGAGAGAGGGAGAGAGAGAATGAGCAGCAGGGAGGGCCAGAGGGAGAGGGAGAAACAGATTCCCCACTGAGTGGATCCTGGGTCCAGGATCCCAGGACCCTGATATCATGACCTGAGCTGAAGTCAGAGGCCCAACCGACTGAGCCACCCAGGTGTCCCTCTCAATTTTAATTTTAATTATAACATGGTAAATATTGATATATGATGCATATAAACAAAAACTCCTTGAAGTTCTCAATAATTTTTAAGATTATAAAAGTGGTTCTATCATCAGAAAGTTTGAGAACTGCCAGCCTGAAAATATGCTATCTTTTTAGAATGGCAAATGGACCCATAAGGAACTGGCAGATGTTTCTCTCTATAGTCTAGCATCTTTCTGCCTATTTTACATTTTTGACCTGGCAATCCTGTTGCTAGTTGTTTATTATAAGAATAATAAACTGAGATTTATGTAAAAGTATATTTATTGTGAAACATTCTGTTATTATTTATTAATATTTACAATGATAAAATAAATTGGAAAAGATTTACTTAAATAAATTAGAGCATATATAGACCATGAATTATGCAGCCAGAACAAAATGCATGTTTTTAGAGTACAGTGGCATGAGGAAATGTGTATGATTTGTAAAATTGTAAAATTTTATAAAATTCAGATTATAAAACATTATAGGATAATTACATATTTGTTTAGGAAGAAAAGAATTGCATATATGTGATATCGTGATAAATTGGCAGAATACATGATAAAATGTTTATTCTTTTTTTAAGAAAAAGATTTATTTATTTATTTTAGAGAGAGAGAGTGTGAGGAGGGGCAGAGGGAGAGAATCTCAAGCAGACTCCCTGCTGAGCACAGAGCCCTACGGGGCTGGATCTCAGGACCCTGAGATCATGACTTGACCTGAAACCAAGAGTTGGACGCTTAACCAACTGAGCCACCCAGGCACCCTGATAAAATATTTATTCTTGGATAGTTTTATTTCTGGACTGTAATCCTATTTTTTCTCTTTTCCTTTTTTTGTATTTTCTACAACATAAGTATATTATCTTTGTAGTCAGGAAATAAAATCTAGTCCCATAGTATATTATCAATAAAACATGCTACTGGAGAAATAATCTGGGCTTAGATTAAAGGCAGTAGCAGTAGGCAGGAATGAATTTTCCAAATATTTTATATTAAATACTGTTTATAGTTGGTTTAATAGTTTATGGACCCTTTGTTAGGACATAATCTCATTATTTCAATGGGTAAATGAGCAAGTCACTCTTCTTAGAAGGCCTTCTGTAACTCTGAATTTGATTGACATGCAATCAGCACAGTCCAGTAAAAATATTTAGTAAATGTTAGAGATAGAGACTGGGTCATTTTTATTTATTAGGGCATGTTCTGAAAAACCCTAATTTTTGGAATTTCTTAGCTCATTTTAACTTAATATATTCATTGAAAAGAATAAAACTTTTGTGTGGCTTAGTCATTAAGCATCTGCCTTCAGCTCAGGTCATGATCCCAGGGTCCTGGGACCCCGCATCAGGCTCCCTGCTTGGCAGGAAGTCTGCTTCTCCCTTGCTTGTGTTCCCTCTCTCGCTGTGTCTCTCTCTCTGTCAAATGAATAAATAAAATCTTTAAAGAAAGAAAAAGAATAAAACTTTTGTGTTAAATCAGATTCTTGGCATTTGTTGTGAAGACCATTTAAGATCTGACTTCTAATCCTGGCTGTACTACTTAACTAGTTATTGATACTATGCAAATTATTTAACTTTCATTAAACTTTAATGTTTTCCTCTGTAACATGAGGATGATAATACTACAGAAATTACCTTACTGGGTTGGTGTGAGAACTATGAGATACTACACGTAAGGCATTTAGAACATTATCTGTGCTCAGATGTTACTGTCATCATCATTGTTGTCATCAATTTAAATGTGGCTCCTTTGCAGTTAGTCTTGATTCAAATAAGTAGACTTATTCATTCTCTAATATATATGTATACTTCAGAAAATGTAATAAACTACTTAGAGTAAAAATAATTAGGAAACAAAGTTAACACTGCTGTTATGATTGATATGTTATTTTAAAATCATCAGTTGGCATTCATTTGCTAGATTATTTAATTGTGTTTTATTTTGTTAAGGGTAAAAACTTGATTTTCCATTCGAAATTTTAGGTATCCGTGGGGAAATCAATGTAGTTGTCAAAGTAGACCTCTTCAATGATTTAAATCGATTTAGGCAGTCATCATGTGGAGTCAAATTCTTTTGCAGTAAGTAAATGCATTTTATTTCTCATTTAATAGGAAATTTAATTGTTAAGTATAGGGAATCAAATTAATATTTCAGAAAGCTAATGGAAAATCTATTATACTTTGGTTTTAATGCCAAAGAGAAAATTGTCCATTTTTCAGAAACAATTACTGTAGCTCTGGGGACTATCTGATTTTAAAGTAAATGAAATCTAATTTTTTACAAGTTCTTAGGAATTTTTGTTAGAATAGTCCATTGGGGCGTGAGGTGTACATGGTTATCATGACGCTACTCTGGCCTGCACTCTCGCCCCTACTCCAGACTCTGGAAGGAATCACATTAAACATTGCTGGTAACTTAATTTGCTTATTGCTGGTAGAAGGAGTGACTGGTGAAGATTTTGGATTTTTTCCCAAATTTTGAAGAAGAATCCATGTATTAATGAAACAACTTAATCTTGTTTACTTAAATCTTATGTTAGTAATATTGGGCCCAAAGGTGGAGAATTGATTATAAAAGCACTACATAACAATACAACTCTGAAATACCTAAGAATGACTGGAAAGAAGTTTGAAAATGAAGGTGGAATGTGTTTTGCAGGAATGCTGCAAATTAATTCATCCTTAGAGAAATGAGATCAGAGTGACTATGGTCTGGAAATGCAAAATGTGACAGCATTTGCTACAGTCCTAACTGAAAACCAAACAACTAAGGGAATATACCCAAACCTACCTATACTGTATGGTGAATAGGAGGCGTCCACAGTTCATCTAGGCCACATGCTGAAAGAAAATCACTGCCTTGTTGCATTGCTCATGTGTAAGCATGATATTATAAAACAGTTGGTGATGCACTGTATCTGAACAGTAGCCTATGCTAACTTGATGTCAGCTGGTTGTCAGTAGTCAGCAACAACATAGGGGGAGATGGGCTTCTACTTTCATAATCAATGAAAACAAATCCCACTCTCTCTAATATCTACATTTGGAAAAACAAATTCGATGACTACATGTATGATATAATCAGACTTAATTCAAATTCAAATCAGACAAATTCAGATTCAAATTCAAATGGGCCATCTAAAATTAGGTAATACAGATATGGAGCTATTTGTGGTGGGTGGACATGTGTATTTTGCAGAAGTCTCCAGTGGCCTTAAAAAGCATTACTATCAGACATCAGACTTACGGAGAAGCTTGCAGCACTCATCTAATGCAGGTTTTACTCTTTTTTTTTTTTTTTTAAATTTTATTTATTTATTTGACAGAGAGAGACACCACAAGAAAGGGAACACAAGCAGGGGGAGTGGGAGAGGGAGAAGCAGGCTTCCTGACAAGCAGGGAGCCCAATGCGAGGCTCGATCCCAGGACCCTGAGATCATGACCTGAGCCAAACACAGACGCTCAACGACTGAGCCACTCAGGCACCCCTCCTTTTTTTTTTTTTTTTTAAAGATTTATTTATTTATTTGAGAGAGGGAGAACATGCACATGGGGGGAGGGGCAGAGGGAGAGAATCTTCAAGTAAACTCCCCACTAAGCAAGGAGGCTGATGTGGGGCTTGATCCCAGGACCCTTGAGGTCATGACCTAAGCAGAAACCAAGAGTTGGACCCTTAACCGAAGGGACCACCCAGGTACCCTGCAGGTTTTCCTCTTCTACCGGTAGGTCAATCTCCATGAAAAACAAGCTCTAAAATAATTTTCACATATTTATCTTACTACTTTCACAGCAATGAATATTTTATTGCCTATTAAATTTTTCTTTTATAAATTAGAAGAAGTTGCCTTGTTAATATGTGAAAGATACGACTATATTGAACTTTGTATGACTGTCAAAAAAGAAAAATCCACTGATTTTTTTACCTTTATTTATTTTTATTTATTTATTTTTAAAGATTTTATTTTTAAGCAGTCTCTAACCTAACATGGGGCTCGAACCCACAGTGCTGAGATCCAAGAGTCATATGCTCCACTGACTGAGCCAGTCAGACTCTCCTTCAGTGGTAATTTAGTAGATGTTGTTAAGATAGGAGCAGAGCACTATTGCCAAACATTGGGATGCTATCCAAACTTAAAATAGGTATCTATAGTTACAGTCCCTCAAGTGCCATGAAAAATGGGTTGGCATTGGGCAGATGTAGGCAATCACAGCCAGCCTGGATTAATAGGGTTGAAAACTCCTAAGTAGTTGAGTTAGCTTTAAGGCATGGATGTCTATTTTAAGAGACTAATTTGGTGTAGATGTTCTTAGGTTCTCCCTTTGTTTTTTTATTGTTTTTTTTGTTTTGTTTTTCTATAGGTTATCCCCTTTTTGAATCCTACTAGATCTTATTTTATTTTATTTTCTTTAAGATATTATTTATTTAATAGAGAGAGAGAGAGAGAGACAGCGAGAGAGGTAACACAAGCAGGGGGAGTGGGAGAGGGAGAAGCAGGCTTCCCGCACAGCAGGGAGCCTGACGTGGGGCTTGATCCCAGGACCCCGGGATCACGACCCGAGCCGAAGGCAGTCGCCTAACCAACTGAGCCATCCAGGCACCCCCGACTAGATCTTATTTTAAATCTGATGACATTTGGTGTTATTTATTTTAAATGAGTTTGTTAAATAGTATAGTGACTACTGAACCAGTTGGCCATATGGCCATGGATTATTGGAAATTGCAGGGCTGTATGACTCCTCAGATTATGTCAGAAAGGTAATGGTTTGATTTTTAAGACTGCACTGTATGTTGTACAAAAGAACTTTTTCAAAAGGTTTTGAATAAAGTTTTTTGTATTTATTACCCACTTTGTACCTATTTTTATAATGATTACCTAGCTGACATTCATTCTGATTTTTTTAAACTTTGTATTGAATGCTATTTAAGATTGTCTATGGCTGTTTTCCAAATTATAAAAATACAATTTCTATCTACTGTGTTTACTATGAGAAAAATGAGGTCTCATTATAGAAAATGATTATTTCTAAGAATAATATGGAATTTAGAAGACTGATTGGAAGTATGACTATTATAATTACATTGAAATTAGCACAGTAAAAAGTCTTTTTGTATTATGTATCCAACATGTAAGAATTTAATTGTACATTTTTTAAAAATTGAATTTAACCTTGTGATAAATAAAAGCATAATAGACAATTTCTTTTAACAGCAACATCCATTCCAAAGTGCTATAGAGCTGTAATAATTCATGGTTTCGTAGAAGAGCTTGTGGTCAATGAAGACCCAGAATATCAATGGATTGATCGAATTCGTACACCAAGGGCATCAAATGAGGCCAGACAGAGACTCATTTCTTTAATGTCAGGTATTTAAAAAAAATAACTTCATTACTGATTTACTTAACACTGTTACATTTTTCACGTCCTTTTGACATACTACCTGAAATTTTACAGTGAAGGCTATGAATTATATATGACTGATTCTCTACCCTGGCCCTATCTTCCTGAACATACACACGTTGCCATCTTATAAGAGGAAATCTGAACTAGAAGCTTATACTTCCTTCTTAACTAGGTAGTAAAAGGAATTTGTGCTCATGAAGTGGCATAGTGGAAAGAACCCTGAGCAAGGAAGTAGGAAACTGGGTTCTAGTTTTCCTTCCTCTAGCATTTATTTGTAGTCAGAGTTTAGGTAATCTCTCTATTGTTTTTTTTGCCTTTTTTTTTTTTTAAGATTTTATTTATTTATTTGACAGATAGAGACATAGCAAGAGAGGGAACAAAAGCGGGGGGGAGTGGGAGAGGGAGATGGAGACTTCCCACTGAGCAGGGAGCCCAATGCGGGGCTCTATCCCCGGACCCTGGGACCATGACCTGAGCTGAAGGCAGACGCTTAACGACTGAGCCACCCAGGCGCCCCTTTTGTTGCCTTTTCATAGTCCTTCTCTAACAACTTGTTTTAACTCCCTGTACTTCTCCCTGCCATTCTGAACCCATTACTTTTCTTTATTTTTCTTTGAAGAACTTGTTTATCATTTTAAATTTTATATGTATATGTGTGTATATATGTGTATATATACTCACATGTATATCAGACAATAAATAAGTATAAATGTTATATTTAATATATATAAATATGTTATACTTATGTATAATAAATTTGTTTTTAACTATAAAATATAGATTTATATTAATAAATATATCAATTACATTTTAATATTTATAAATCAGTATAAATATATTTATACTTAATATAATATAAAATGTTGTATTTAATATATTAAATAATACATCTTTTTTGTTCACCTCTGTATTTCTAGCACTTAGAAGAAAGGAAGAATGCCAGGCACATAGTACACAACCAAAAATTATTTGGTAAATGAATGCACGAATGAGTGAATCATAATTTGCCACATCTGTAAAATGCAACTAGTAATGTCTTACCTCCCTGAAATTAGGAGGCTGGAGCAGATAGTCTTTTAGGTTCTTTTCAAGTTTTAAAAATCTGATTTTTTGACTTTTTTTTTATTGCTACCATATCCAACTTTATATTACGTAATGTGAAGACCTGAAGCATAATGAGTTTTCTTCCTTTTTTTTGTAGGTGAGCTGCAGAGGAAGATTGGCTTGAAAGTGCTTGAAATGAGAGGAAATGCAGTTGTTGGGTACTTGCAGTGTTTTGATCTGGAAGGCGAATCTGGGTTAGTGGTACGAGCCATAGGAACAGCGTGTACACTGGATAAACTAAGTAGCCCAGCAGCATTCCTTCCTGCATGTAGTTCCCCATCCAAAGAAATGAAGGAGTAAGTATGAATCAATGAATCGTTCTTATGGAGCTTTTTATCTTTTACCTATATGTTTTCATTTGATTTGAAATATTCTAGTGGAGTTGTTTAACATACATTTTTTGCTTTGGTGATTTTTTTTTCCTATGGTAATTTTTGCTATCAGAGATGACTATGAAAATCTGAAGCTTTAATCTATTTAGTTATTCCTAATATTTTATTTATACTGTCTTAATATGAAATTCAGGTTAGTAATGTAAAACTAAACTTATTTCAGATCTTTAGGCACTATATATTTAAAGCGTAAAATGGGGATTTATGGAATTTTTACTTATTCTTTGGGGAATGCTTAAAACCCATTATTATACCTGATAATCTAATTATGCTTATTATTAGCAACATAGTATAGAAAGGAAAAGTATAGCAGGGAAGATTGACCTGTGCTGGGGTCTCATACAAATGTCTACAGAGGCCAGACCATTTATATAAATAAAATAATTCAGTGTAATTAAATAGGGAGTATTGAGGACTATAAAGCAAATGTTGGCAAACTTTTTCTGTAAAAGGCTGGATAGTAAATATTTCACGCAGTAGCCATAATAGTTTCTGTCTTTGTTTACCAAAAAAAGGAGTTTGCTGATCCTGATCTAAAGGAGTTTAGGCTCATATATTTTTTAGAAACTGAGTGTGATTCAACAAAACACTTTGGTTGACTGGATTTGGCTTACGTGTTACCATTTTTGTCTAAGGCAGAAGATTCTCAACGTGGTGGGGTGATGCTATCTATAAGGAATGTTTAAAATGAAAATTTTCTGTCATAATGATTGGGGTGAGGAAGATCCTGGTTGGGGACTAGAAATGCTGATTGTTGTATACAGCAAAGGACAACTCTGTACAATGAAGACTTGTTCCATCCTAAGTGTCAGTAGTACTTCCATTGAGGCCCACTGATTTAGAGATTCTTCTAGATCAAGGGTCAACAAATTTTTTTTTTTGTAAATGACCAGAAGATACAGGTAAATAATAATGTAGTCTTTGCTAATAACTACTCAGCTTTGCCATTGTAGCATGAAAACAGTCATTGACAGTGTGCAAATAAGTGAGTGTGGCTGTGTTCCAATAAAACTTGATTATTTACAAAACAGATGCAGGATGGATTTGACCTGTAGGGTGTAGTTTGCTGACCCCTGCCCTGTATCATCAGGGAGTCAGAATTCTGTAGTCAGAAAACCTGAAATGCTTCCCAGATTAACAATAGTCAAGAGAGGTTGACTAGAAAACAATCACGTTCCTTTTTTAAAAAAAAATTTAATTCCAGTATAATTAACATAGTGTTCTATTAGTTTCACATGTACAATATGGTGATTCAACTTTTTCTTTAACAATATTTTTAGAAATGAGATTTTCCTCTTAAGCTTATTCTTTTTGTCTAATTATTTCCTTTCTGTTGGCCTTTAGTTATGTAGATTAAATTTTAGTCACAAGAGGGAGCACATTATATATATTGCCTGATTTTATTGGGAAATACCTTGACAAGTGAAATAACTTGTTTTAAATAAGTTGGAGAGTGAATTTGCTTTATATTCCATTTAAGATATGTTTTAAAAAGATATGAACTGTCTGCTGCCACAGGTAAAGTCAGATTGCAGGTGTATGTAACTTTTTGAGGGATTCAGTTTTTATTTTCTTTTTCCACATCAAATTTACGTTAGGACTTGGGTCCCTCCTTTTCTTGCCATCCTCCAGCTTTACCTAAGTTGCCTGAAGGGGCCTGGCTTTTGCAGTTGTGATGTCTGAAGTTTTCCTCTTTTCACTAAATTATTTAGTAGAAGGAGAATATTATATTGCCTGTTGGTGTCTTAAAATGATATATTGATAGTAGTGGGATATATTTGGCCTACGTTTAGGAATAGTTCCATTAATGTAAATCTTCTGGGATTGTGTAAGTGTTCTCCTTTTCTAATTTTGTTGTAGCCTATCTGCCCTAAGTTGTCAAATATTCACGTCATGAAGAATTTAAGTTGCTTCATTAAGATTTTCTGAAAGTCATCTTGCTACCTTAGTCATGCTGTTAACAAACAAACTCAGTATTCAGGCTGCTTTATATCAGCCAGCTTCTTTGTATTTTTGATAATGAATCAATTTTGGGTGCTAGTTTTTCTTTTTTTTTTTTTTAAGATCTTATTTATTTGACAGAGAGAGACAGAGCGAGAGAGGGAACACAAGCAGGGGGACTGGGAGAGGGAGAAGCAGGCTCCCCGCGGAGCAGGGAGCCGGATGCGGGGCTTGATCCCAGGACTCTGGGATCACGACCTGAGCTGAAGGCAGACGCTTAACGACTGAGCCACCCAGGCGCCCCAGGTGCTAGTTTAAATTGTTTCATGATTCAACTGATTATAATTATTTTGATGTTATAACATTGATTCTAGACAGGAGTTGATAAAAGGTAGTTTGGATTATGTTCCTGTCTGAATGGATTTAGTATTAGAAATGTCACTGGGGAATTATTGCAAGATAATCTTTCATTCAAGGAGACTGATAAGAATTAGAACTCCAAGAATACATATGGTGATGCTCCATTGTATTTGGATTTAACTAGATGTCATAATTTGAACCTTTTCCAATGTTCATTTTATTTTATTCATTTTATTTTACCTGTATTAATGGTGTGTTTTACTCCATTTTTTTTCCCCTTTCAAATATTTAGTGTAATGAATGATATAATGATATAAATCTTTGATATTTCCTTGTTGAACTGTCTTGATGGTACAAAGTGCATTTAAATATGATCTACTGCTTCTCTACTTTAAAAAAAAAAGTACTGTTTAAGAGACGTTACCTGTAATTTCTCCTCTGTACAGCACTGATTCTTAGAATTTTTAACTTATTTAGTCCCTTCAACAGAGAAAGAAAAAACAAAAACAAAACCTCACTCAGTTGTTTGTATACAGATAGGTCACCAATGAGATGTTTGATTTTTATCAGTTGTATTAAACACATTTTTATTTTAAGTTAGCAATAAAAACAGAAACATTGTCCTATTGTAAAACCAGTGATAATTTTCAGAAAATAGTCTGTAGATTCTGTGAAAGACCATTATTGAACCTTGGCAAATTGTATTGCTGGGAATGTTCACTGGCCAGTAGAAAAGAAGAGGCCAAGAAAAAGTTGAGCTCTTGCTTTTAATTTGAATTCTAAAAAATGTAGATATGATAGTTTTTCAGAGTGTATTCACATATGTATGATTGATTCTTTTTTCCTCATTATGATGTAAATATATCTATACATATGGATATGATCTATTGCAGGATGTCAGTTGATATAAAATTTCAATTCAGAATGTAGTTTAATAGGTTCTGTTTATTTTTTAATTTATTTATTTTTAAAGATTTTATTTATTTGACTCAGAGAGAGAGAGACAGCTAGAGGGGGAACACAAGCAGGGGGAGTGGGAGAGGGAGAAGCAGGCTTCACGCTGAGCAGGGAGCCCAATGCGGGGCTCAATCCCAGGACCCCGGGATCATGACTTGAGCCGAAGGCAGACATCTAACGACTGAGCCACCCAGGGGCCCCTAATAGGTTCTGTTTAAATTTAAATAATATATTCTGTTTGAGAGCTAGACAAAAATTATCTACATTGTTTTATTAATGTGTTTTGAAAAGCGGTGTCCCCTTGCTTTGTTTTGTTTCCAGTGTAATCTGGAAAGCAGTATACTTGGATTGCTGAAATACTGGAATGTTTATATTTGCTTATATCCATTTCAGTTTATTCATTTTTCTTTATGCTGTCATTTTTCATATTCTTTAGTACCACTATCTTGCGATTATAGACAGAAACAGCTCTGTTAAACTTTCTTTATAGAAAAATATAATTTAAAAAAATAGAAAAATATAATTACATGAATTCAGTTTCAAAAGTAACATAAGAACTTTATATTTGACTTTTCACTTTTATTGGTATTTTGTCCCTGTGTAGTAAGCTTTATGGTGATCAAAATAATAACAAACATTTTAAAGCAACTCAGAATCCAAATCTTAGTCTTTTTCTTATTTAATGCCGCTATTTTTGCTTGCTGTTTTTCTTATTCACAGTCCTAATTATTAATCTGATCCCTTAAAACTATAATTGTATCCTAACAAGTTAGTATTTAGCTCTGCTTTTTAAATTTCAATTTGTTTTTTGCATGTTGGGGATTAAAAATTCCTCTCCCCTAACTAAAGCTCCTTTGAAATTATTTTAACATAACTTTGCTATCTGTTGTATGTATTGTTTTCTTTTCTTCCACTTTGACTACAAATTCCCTCAGGTCTCCGCTGGTTCATCCTCCAAGCCATGGATGCCGCTCGACTCACAACAGCCCAATTCACACTGCTACTGGCTCACGACTTACTCAGAACTTCTCTGTGTCTGTTCCCACTCTCATCTATACTGGTACGAGACTGCTCAGACTCAAGAGCTGGGGAAGACAGGCCACAGGCTGCAAAGGGCAGGCAGGCAGGTGGTGTAGTGTAGGCAGGTACCACAAGTCTTTGCTTCCTCCTTTTCTTACTTGAAGTCCAGCTGCAGTGAAGAAATCCAGTATATAGCCACCACAGAGGCTCTAACTACTTTGAAGTGAAAGTGTTCTTCTAGCTTCCAAAGTCTCTTCCATAGATCCTGTAAGACCCCTATCTTATGTATGCATCGTGTAAGTTTTTAGGAGTATCCTCCAGTATGTGTTTTGCCATTATTTCTGCATTTGGTTCGAAATAAAATCGATGATTGGATTCTAAATGAAATAGCTGTCAAAGCTTCTGATTTGCTTCTTTTACTTATGTACAAAACCTTTTACATAGTAGGGTCTGGTTTATTCTGTGGAAGAGAGCTATTGGAAAACAGGTAAGCAACTCTTCTGCATAAAATGCAATGGTTCTTTGTAGCTATATTCATTTTTCTCTCTGCCGTGTTTTTAGCTGTGGCACTCTTGATGCTATAGGATAAGGAAACATTTTTTCTTTTGAAGATATCTGTGTGTGCAAATATAAAAACTATTGTGAATATTTGCACACACCATTTGCAGCATCATTTTTTCTTTTGTAACTTAAAAAAGCATTATTTGGAAGTATTTTCAGTCATGTATTTATTTTTTTTATTTTTCCTTTTAATATTTTTTACCCCCTTAGTCTGTCATTTCATGCTTCTTTGCTTTTTTACTTGGCTTATTAACTGTTTCAGTGCAGATAATTATTTATCTGGAGAATGATGAATGGTTGAACAGCAATTGGTTGTCTTTGGCCTCATACCCAGCTCCACACTTAAGAAATGACTGCTGGCCCTGCCCAATACTTTCCTGGTGTTTGGATCATGCTGCCTTCCGTCAGGTCCTTTGGCACATGATTGCTTAATATTTCTCCACCTTCTTCTGGCAGGATTCCCTTCAATGAAGATCCCAATCCCAATACTCACTCATCAGGACCCTCAACCCCTCTGAAAAACCAAACTTATTCCTTTTCACCTTCCAAGTCCTACAGTCGACAGTCCTCTTCTTCTGACACAGATTTGAGTTTGACACCCAAAACTGGTAAGGCGCTTCCACCCACCTTTTTCTTTTTCTTTCTTTCTTTCTTTCTTTTTTTTTTTTCAAATTTGTTTCTGTTCTTTATTAGCTTTCCATCCAAGGCTTTCCTCCTGTTTTTGGCATTTAAGTTAAAAGATTATGTGAATATTGATCATTTTCAGTTACTATCATTAAAATATGAAAATTTCATATAGCTCAGAAATGATCTTGTTCAAAGATCTGCATATGTTGATTTAATCATAATGTAGATATGAAGTCCAGAATTTATTTTTGCATGTAGACATTTTTCATTTCATGCTCATATTATGAGGAATAACATCTTAAAGCTTTTGAATAGAAAGTAACATTAGTAGCTTGCAATCCAATTCCTCATGTAGTGGAAACATTTTCGAATTCATTTTTCTGTCTATTTCTGAATTTAATTCTAAGATTTTATTATGAAAAAATTTTTAGAACAATTGAAATGGTTATATTGGAGTACATATATCTATTTATTAACTTCTTGCTATTTAAAATGTTTGGTTTTGTTAGTCTTGCTCTCTAGGTTAGAAAGTAGCATTTTTGCTTTACTTATTCTTACATATTTCTCAATGTATGCAATTTATAATTTTTCCCTCTCCTATTTGTATTTTGATGAATAATTTCTGTGAGTTTTTATGAATGTTTTATGATAAAAATTGTTTAAAAAGTCAAATTATTTCATTACTTCTTAAAGTAGAATTAACTTATTCAAGCCATTAAGAAAAGTAAAATGTAAAAAGTTAAAAAGTTAGTAGTTAGCAATTTTTGTAAATACTGTTTTTGTCTGGCAGTTTTCTCTCCAGATTGATGAAAACATTTTGCATTGTTCCTGTTCATTTTTATCATCTTTAATAACCTTTTGTGTATTAGGCAAGAAATTTATAAAATGATCCCAGATTTTATGAAAACAATGAAAAGAAATCTAATTCGAAAACCAGTGCTAATTCTAAAGAAAGAAAGGGCATTAAAAAGAAAGCCTATAGGTTTAGTATCTATTTTTATAAATATAGTCACAAAATGTGAGGAAGATAATTATGAATACCTAATTCTTTGAAAAGAATAGCTTTAGGGTGCCTGGGTGGCTCAGTTGGTTAAGCAACTGCCTTCGGCTCAGGTCATGATCCTGGAGTCCCAGGATCGAGTCCCGCATCGGACTCCCTGCTCAGCGGGGAGTCTGCTTCTCCCTCTGACCTTCCCCCCCTCATGTACTCTCTCTCTCTCAAATAAATAAATAAAATCTTTAAAAAAAAAGCTTTATTCTTTATTTACATATACATAATATGAGTAACATCTAAAATCATGAGTTTTTTTTAAAAGATGTATTTATTTTAGAGAGAGAGAGCGAGCGAGTGAGCATGCGCACGTGCTCGTGGGGATGGGGCTGCAGGGAGAGCAGAGAGAGAATCCCAAGCAGACTCCCCACTGAGCATGGAGCCCCACGTGGGGCCAATCCCAAGACCATAAGATTGTGTCCTGAGCCAAAATCAAGAGTCGGACACTCAACCAACTAAGCCACCCAAATCATGAGATATTTGATAGTCATTGATACACGGAATGTGGCATCCTAGCCATATTTATGCCATAAAAACTGAACCATTCAGATGGTAGTGAAGTGTTTTTTTTTTTTTTAAATAAAGAATGAGATTCTGGCCTTCAAATTCATGCCTATCAAAACAAGAAAGACTTAGGATAGTATTTGAAGAATAAGTTTTCTTAAAAATATTTTTTCAAGCTTTGACCACTGGTTATTTGTGTATTCCAGGCTACTTTTTGATGTTTTTATCTTTATTTTATTCTTTGCCATAGCCACAGACAATTTTTTTGAAGTATATTCTTGGTCTTTCTATTTCCTTTTCTTTAATTCACCAAAAAGGCCAAGTCTAAAAAAGATTGTCAAGTAATAAGTTAACTGAATCAGATTTGTCTTCCCTTAGCTTTCTTGTAGGCAATCAATTATCTTATCAATGAAAACAGTTTTGCATTTTATTTTCTAATTCCAAAATTTTGGTTTTTAAAGATTCATTTATAAGTTACTATTCTCATGTATCTCTATATTTATCAGATGCCTTTAGATAATTTTGTTTTTCTACTATCATATGCTATTCACTATCTTTAGTAGCATATTTATAGAACATTAACAGTATTTTCGCTTATCATGAATCCCTAAATATCTTTAAATATTCCTGAGGAGCATTCCATAAGAGATTTGAAATGGCAAAATTATGATTGTTTTAAAATTTCTAAAACTGTAATTGAGTGTGTATTTCATAATTCTCTGCTTTCAAATTTACCTATATACAAAATCAGTCTCTTGAGAAATAGCGGGGGTAAGCTGATTATGATTGATTGATTATATGTAAACTGGGGAACTAAAAATAGAATAAAGTTAATAAAGCTTTAGACTGAGAAAGTTGGTTTTCTATTTGTAGTTAAAGCTATTGTCTTTTTTTTTAGATAGGTCTCATTTAAAAAATTCATACTGATTTATTTCTGTAGATTCTAATTTTTGACATTTTACAAGGTTTCATTTTCATATTTTTTTCCAAGTACTCAACTAGTAGGAGTGGAATTTTAGAATGCTAGTTTTAGGGTGTTGATTTGACATCTGACTCAAGCTAATTTTTGCTTTTAAAAAAAAAAGAAAGCTTTTAACCATGTATAATTTTTGTGAGTTGAGAGTATTTGCCCCTTACATACTCAGATCTTTGTAAATATGAACAGTGTTATGATTAAACTTGAATATTTAAAATTTTAGAGGAAAAAGAAAAGTAATATACATCTCAAAGATGAACAGAAAGAAATTAGTATTTATTTTAAATTAATGATGGCAACTGTTTAATGTGGTGCTGTTTTTTTATGGATAAGTGATATGTTTTAGTAACATTTGAAGAACTGTACTTTGCCACTTTAAGTAATGTTTATATTTGAGGCAATAAGTTTCTGGCTTTAAAAATTTATAAAATACACATTTTAACTTTATACATTCTTAAGCAAAAAAAGTCAGGTAATTTAAGTGTTTTTGAGAAATCAGCTCCATGTGATTAGAATGGCATAAAATCCCATGTTAGTGATTTAAAAAATTTTAATAAATGCAAAGTTTATAAAGGTTTTGCTAGGTTTTCAACTGTTCCTTTAATTTATATTGTGTTGGCTAGATGGTCTTGCTAATGACTTCATATGCTTAGTGTAATTTATGTAGCATTTTAAAATCCATTTTTACTGTTATGTTTTGCATCATCATTGCTTTCCTTATTCTGCATTTTCTGGTCATCTTCTGAATCTGCATCTTTTCTCTGCTACTTTCCTCCACAGCACCTTATTTACAGGGGCCTAGGATTTACCTGTGTCCCAGCTCCCCCTCTCTCTCTTGTGGTTCCCTTCATCTTAAAAAGTCCTGTCTCCTCCTCTCGGAATCTAGCCTTCCCCCTCATCATTCTAGCCCTGTCAGCCCAGTTCTGAGGAAAAGTGTTTCTTTCAGTGAAGAGCTGTTCCTGGCTGCTTCTGGTAGGATCACATTATGTCAGCTTTTTAATCCCTTTATTTTAAATCACCTTTGAAAACAAGTAATTATTTCATACTATAAAGAAGTGTTGGATGTCTTACACAGGGCGTACTTCTTGTTTTTCTTGCTGGTGCACAGAATTAAATAATTACGATGATCGTGAGGACATGGTAGAGGATTACTTGATGAATAATTATGAATATTCTGCTGAAATTATTTTATTTATTTAAAAATTATATGTCTGAGGACATAGATCTGCATATTTCCAGTGATTATTGGGTTCTCATTACTAGAGTTTCTGTTTTAGATGCCTTACTTTCTTTCCCTTCACACCAACTCCATTCACATTGGACCTGCACCATCATGTTGCTAAGCCATATGGTTACATTAGTAAATTATTCTGTTTGAATCAGTTTAAGTCTCATTTTGGTGGTATTCTTTCTTTATCCATTTTTTTTTCTGTCCATTGCTTAATTTTCAAATTATTCTGCTGTATTTTCTGATGTTTTATTTATCTCTACAAAATACATTTTATTTTATGGCTTTCAGTATGCTTCATATAAAGATCTTAGTTTCATTTCTATGTTTAGTATTGTATAGTCTCTAAAAAACATATTTAGGTTACTACAAGAAAAATATGTTCCTTTTTTATTTTTAAAGAACAGAATGGGACTATACACATGCTAACCTTTGTTTCCTTATCCAAGAACAGCTAAAAATGTAAAAGTAAATTAGTTCCTTTTTTAAGTCATTGCAGTAAATGTATCTGTATGTATCTTCCGTTTTGAAAGGGTGGGATTGAACTGTTAACTCTAACCTATAGAGCCTATAGCACTACCCTGCTTTCTATAATTCTTTGATCGTAATTGGTCTATTGGTACTAGCAAAAGAATAAAATAAAGTAGGGAAAGAAATGAAAAATTAAGCCTTTAAAAAATACATCTAAGAGCTTGAGAAATACAATTCTTTTCATCCATAACTATGTACATTTGTGATGTGTCTATTATATGTCTGTGATTTTTAGTTTTAAAAAATATTTTATGTTGATTTTTGCAAATGAGTATTGAAAACTATGAATGTTAATAGTGTTTTGTCATGAATGATATATTTAGGAATGGGAAGTTATCAGAAAATAGATTTGACTGTATTTCAAAATTGCCTAAAACTCATGCTCTTTAGAGAATTTTGGAATATTTTTAAGTAAGCACAATTAAAAGTGCTTCTTCTCTCTATAGTTCCTTTTAAACAAGCATTTGATGTTTCTTGATTTCTTTTAGTATTCTTAAATTGTTAGCATAGTAAGTACAGTTGATCCTTGAGCAACACACCCCTGCCAAGTTGAAAATGTGCATGTTACTTCTGATTCCCCCAAAGCTTAACTATTAATAGCCTACTCTTGACCACAGGCCTTACTGATAACATAGTCAATTAACACATATTTTGTTACATGTATTATATACTGTATTCTTGCAATGAAGTAAGCTAGGGGAAAGAAAATGTTACTAAGAAAATCATAAGGAAGAGAAAGTACATTCACAGTACTGTACTGTATTGAAAAAAATTCATGTATAAGTGGACTGTGCAGTTCAAACCCATGTTGTTCAAGGGTCAATTGTAATTGGTAGTATCTTGATTATTTTGTATTAGAAGCCTCAACTTTTAAAAACTGAATATTATACAAAAATTCATTACATTAACATAATTTAAAAAATAAGTTTTAGAACAGATTGAGTCTAAACAAATAAGTTTAAAACTGTGATCAGTACAGTTTTGACATCTTGCTTCTAACGAAAACTTTGTGAATAAAATAGAGTAAAATATGTGCCTAATTGCATGTCAAATACTTTAAATGTTTGGATCATTTTAAGATTTTGACTCATGATATTTATGAAGATGAATGCAGTTAAACTTTGTTTCTGTAGTTGTTTTTTGGTTGTTATTTATGTACTGATGTTCTGTAGGAATGGGAAGTGGTAGTGCTGGAAAAGAAGGGGGGCCATTTAAAGCTCTTTTAAGACAACAGACTCAGTCAGCACTGGAACAAAGGGTAAGAGACATTCAACATTCTTTATTCTTATACTGTTAATATGCTTTTCCTATCATGCTTCCATGTATTTATAACATATTTCCATAAACTAGTTTTGATCATGTATCTGTCATGTAATTTCAGAGTCCGAAATTTATTTAAGGTATCAAAGAAATTTGTTTATGAATAATTAATTTTAATTTGGAATAATTCTGTAACTTTTTTGTTTTGTTCTCCAGTTTTTTTTGTAGTTTAAATAATTTTTTATTGTTATGTTAATCACCATACATTACATCATTAGTTTTTGATGTAGTGTTCCATGATTCATTGTTCTCCAGTTTTTTATTAGAAATAGTCTGTTTGTAAATATCCATTGAATGATGATATCATTTCTCATCTTACCTTAAAATTATAATATATAGACGGAAATAGTAGACTTTTTCCAGAAAAAAATATTTTAGGTAATTCTTGGGGTGCCTGGGTGGCTCAGTTGGTTAAGCATCAGACTCTTGATTTCAGCTCAGGTCTTAATCTCAGGGTTGTGAGATCAAGCCCGTGTTGGGCTCTGTGCTGGGCATGGAGACTACATTAAAAAAGAGAAAAGAAAAGGTAATTCTTTAGTGTATTAATATATTTATATGCTGAGATTATTTTTATGGCCGGCCAATCTCTTAGGGGTAAGAAATGCACAGATTCAGTATTTCTACAGATTAACATGAACAATGTGGTTATTTGGTATGTGAATACATCTCTTTTAATTATTATAAGTTTAATGTTTAGTTAACTATGTAAAATGGGAAAACAGTCAAAATTTATGGGTGATTTTTCTCTTTTTATTTTTTATTTTTTTGTATAAACTTCATTGCTAAGGGAGGATCGCCTCATAGGTTCTGTAGAAGGCGGGTATGTTTCTGAACATGTGTGAGAGCCTTTTTCTTGTATTGGTAGCTGTTCTAGTTTTAATCTTGATCATTTAAGTTTTATTTAAGCTTTAACAAATGTTGCCAGCTTTATTTCTTTTCGTAATGCAATTTTTAAAAATTTATTAGCATTATGAGGCTCATTTTTTTTTCTACTAAACTAATACAGTGCATGATTATTTATATGTTATGTCAGTTATTTTAAGGCACAGTTCCATAGCTTTCATTGTGTCTGATTTGGAAGTTTATAAGCATTTACAGAATTTTCTTTTACATGTTCCATTTTATACTAGCATTAAAAAAAAAGATGAAACATAGTAAATACCTATAAAAGAATGCATTCTGTTAAAAAAGGTATTTCTTCTCTAGAGGTTAGCTTTTGAGAATAGTGTTTTCAGATTCTGTTACTACAAACAATATAACAGTTTACTTTTTTTAGACTTTCTTTCCTGTGCAGAAAGTATCTGTATGCACTGTTTGCCTTTTAGACAAGGTTGTGGGGAGCAGAGCAGAGCTGAGCTGAGCTAAGCAGAGTGATGAGACTTTAGCGACACATAGTTGTTTGCCTTATTCCTTATCAGGCAGCAGTTGGGCTTGAGCTACTTTCACACCTTGCAGGCATACCAGCTACTGTCATGCAAAAGCCCACTTAAACATTGGGACCATTTATTAAAACCAAATAGAGAAAGAGACTGAAAACACAGAGAAGAGGGTCAGGGTGAAGGTATGCCTGTTCACTTACCTTTTTTAAGGCCAGAATGCTCTTACCTCCACCCCGCTCCCAGTTTTACATTCTTTACAGAGTTCCTTACACTAGGAGTATTTCCTTGTAATTGTCATTCTAGAATTCACAGGAACAGAAAAACTGATATGATATGAAATTTTGCCTGTATCTTGTGCCTGTGACTTCATTATCTATATTAAGAACTTTTGAAAACATCTAGCTTTAAAAGAAGAAAAAAACTAATCAATAAAAATTGTTTTAGATTTAGTTTGGATAAAATTTATGTTTTCAAATATGCTTTTAAACATTCTTAAAGTTTTGGACACATCACATTGGGTATACATTACTAGATAATCTTTATGGAATTAATGGTAAAAGATGTGGGAGAACTATAGTTTTCATTTACAACCTTGTAAAATCTGAGTTGGCAATAGTTACTTGTCTTTATGAGACTACCTCTCTGTCCTGGGTACACAATAAATAGAACAAACATCATTTTTAGCTTTCCCATTAACCTGTGGTTGCCATTAGTATGTCTTTGTTTTGGGGAAAAAATTTGTTTAGAAGTATGAAGAATTCTCCTCACATGTGTTCAGATATGCCTTAACTCTGCCAAGTCGAATACTACATCAAGGTGAACAAATGATATACTTAATACCATTTTTATATTCATTTTTTTAAGATATTCATTTCTACCCCTTGCCACCCTTCATAAAATGTATGGCTTTTTTTTTTTTCTTGAGGAAAAGAGAACCTTTGTGCAGCATCTTTTATTTAATGGGTTTCAAGTAGCAGTTCTCAAAAATAAAAGTGTTATTTTTTTCTTTCACAAAATCAGTGAAAAATAAATTGACATGATCTTGGTAATAGGTGCCAGATGATTAGGAGATAAGATGTAGAGATAAAAATTTAATTAGATTTAGGTTCCACCTATGAACTATTTGATGTAAAGCAAATAGATTTATTTTTCAATATGACTCTTCTTTCACTTGTAAGAAAAATGAAGTTACTTTTCAGATGCTGGGATTTTTTTCTTCAATAAAGAAACCTAGTCGACTTGGTTTAACCTAGTGTTTCCCAAATATATTTTACAATGGAATCTTCCATGTGAAATACCTGTTAGTGACGACCACATTTTGGGCAACATTGATATAAAGCAAACTCTTTTGATAATTATGATGTTTTTAATAGTGGGATAAAATTATACAATAAATCATAGTAGGAATCTGGCACGGAGTTTTCTTATCTAGAAAGTTGACTCTTGTTTCTTGGGATAATCAAAAGAATATTTGATTGAAAAAATAAACTATTTAAATATATTCTAAGAAAAATTCTATTTAAATGTTAAAAAATTACTCCCGTTGTGTCCCCAGATTTTCCAACTAGCCTGTCTTTGAACACATGGTATTAAATAGATTTATGCTGCCTGCACTTCTCTTACTGTCAAAATGTCAACATGTGAATTCTTACCTAGTGGTACCACAAGGCAAGGCACTTTAAATATTAGGACTTTGCAGAGAAAATGTCTTCTGTGGTCCCTGATATTCTCATCTAGGCATTGGAAATGGGCTGGGCTTGGCTGATCTTAAGGAAGCTGTTCTTTTCAATGGAAGAGAACCTATAAACTCATCAGGTATAATGATAGACTAGAGATTAAAACCAACTCCTTGTCTGCTTTAATCAGAAATTTCAAGGAGCCAGATGATAAGGTTTGTTGCTCACATAGAGTCTAGGCCCTCTTGACTCTCACGTTAGGGCATGGGAAAGATTATAAAGCATAGTTTTAAGATACTGTGCAGAGGTCTGGCACTCTGTAAGCACTTCATAGTAGTCGCTACGTGATGGGGGTGGAGATGAGAGGTATTTAACCGTCACTGGTGGTCACTCGTGTCACTGGTGATGGGGGTGGAGATGAGAGGTATGTTAGCAGTAGGTATTAGCCATAGTTCTTCTGAGAGAGTTATCTGAAGATGTAGTTTTGGTTGAATAACCATACCATTTTTATGTACTCCAGGTTAAATTTTGTGTGTTAAAGTAGGTATGCTGATTGGACATGTAGGATAGTTTAAGTTGGCAGAGTGGTCGTCCGCCTCTTTGGGCAGCCATTCCCCTACTTTTTCTGCTTATGACCACCAACTCTACTATGATGCTTTCCCTGTTGTCCCTTTATCCCATCTTCTCGAATTTGGGGAGAAGAGTCAGAATCTCAAGTAGAGAAGTCATTTAGGTTAATTTTTATACCTACCTAAATTCTTATATGCAGATGTTTTCCAATATGTGAATTTACCTAACATATTTCTCAGTTTCAGAAGGAAGTACAGCTTTCCATTTAGCTTATAAAAATTTTATTTTCAGTGTCTCTTGTCCAGGATATTTAAAATGTTTAAGTATAAAGATTAAATGTAAAGTACTTTTTTTAATATGCTTCAGTATTTTGAGGAAATTTAAAAACTGTGTACTTAAAATTGAAAAAAAATCATAAAGGCCTAACTTAGGTAAGATATTTAAGCTTCTAATAGCATAAGCTTATTTGTATATGTCTCATTTAAAAAATTCAGGTGGAAATAAGGAGGCATTTTGACTAAACATTTTATAATTCATGTAAGTGAGATTCCCCTCCTACCCTCTCCCTTTTTTCTTTTTGCTTGTCAGCTGGGCCAAACCTATTTCCATAGATTGGTTTTTACTTTTTTTTTCTTAATGTAGCCTAGGTTTTTCTTACCCTTGTTAATTTAAATATTACTTTTAAATTCTAACTGAGTTTATTTCTAAATTCTCTATATATTTTATACTATATCTCCATGGGTTATTGAAGTGTGCAAGACTGTTTGCCTTTGTGCTAAACGACTCCAAGTTGCTATGCTTGTGAATTATGCTTTGGTGAGTTTGTATTCTCCATGCTTTAAGCAGCCAGTCAGTAATCTTGCTGCTTTTAATGTGCCTGCTTCTAGTAGTATTCTGTATGTCTTTATCTCTCAGCTTTTGTTTGCTGCATTTAAACTGCTATGGTCCAGAAAAAAAAATACTGCTAGACTTTAAAATATGTTCCTAAAATTATATGTTTATAATTGCTGTATGGCATAGTATGGATATGATCTATAGGGATTTCTTATGAATCAAGTACATAAATTTTAGTACTTGGAAGTATAACAGTTCTTTTGACTATTGAGAGCTCTGTTTTGCTTATTTTCCAGCTCTCAGTTATGTTCTGAATAGCTGAGGCTACTGGCAAATGACTTCTGGTTAAGTGAGCTACATTAATCTTATAGCCAGATGAGGCAGATATTAAATTTCCCTTGCTTGTATCCAATTTTGTGTAATGTGAGAGGCCTCTATATTTGGAGAGTCACAAGAGCTCCCCTTTCTTCCTGGATGCTATTTCAATGAATTTCCTTTCTCTGTTTTCCCATTTCCTTCTTACCTCTAAATTGATGAGATTGATGTCCTTGAGAGAGAAGGGGAGAATGAAACTTGGGAGAACTTGTGGAATTTTATTTCCTCCCTTGCTGTCATCTACATTCTTCTCCCTTTTCCTTAATATGCATTTATGTACTTAAAATTTTCTCCAGCTGACCTGGTGTTGATAGAGTAAATAATCTTACACAGCGATTCTCTACCCACTTCAGCTTGGTATTTGCCCTTTGCTTTTCCCTGAATCTCTTAACCCACACTGTTCATTGTCTCACTCCTCCCTCAGTCCCATATTCTTGTAGATCTCTTGCACCAGGCCTTCAGAGTCTTTTATCAGTAGCCTGGAATTGGGTGTGTGTATGTGAGGAGGATTCTGCCCCACTGAGAAGTAGACTCAGAGTAGAAGGGCAGGGAATCCCCACATCTCACTGTGAATTTGCATCAGAGTAGGAGATTGAGAGGTAGGAAGAGTGTGTTCAAAGATCTTAAATTGAAACTCTGAGAACCTTTTTTTCTCATTGAGAACTGATAAAAAGAGCGTTTGGATTCTGTATAACATGATATATATAAGAAAATGGATTAGGAACTCTAAGCATCTAAGAAAACATTACAAAGCATGTGTAATGTATAACTGGTAGCCTTTTGTTAAGGGATAGGATTCATATCTCATAGTATGAATATAATCTATTGGGATCAGGCTTTTTAACAAGCAAATTTTTTGTACTTTGCATATGGTCAGTTATATTTTTCCCCCTTTATTTTTACTAGGAATTTCCATTTTTTACCTTGACGGCATTTCCTCCTGGATTTCTCGTGCATGTTGGGGGTGTTGTTAGTGCACGCTCTGTGAAGCTTTTGGATCGTATCCACAATCCTGGTATGTTCTTTAAAAGTTTGTTTTCAGTGTTTCACTTAAACTGAGGTTATTAAGATTGATTTTTATAATAAAAAAAAAATCAAATCTATCCAAAAAGAGAAATGAAAAAGAAAGTATAAACTGGCATGTTGCTTTAAGTATTTGCAGTAATCCTAATTAAAAATGATCAAATAAGTCGAAGTATTATTTTTGTTAGCTTTTTATATAAAACAAACAAATCTTGATTAATTTTTTTGGCCAAGGCATCACTTTGAAGGAATTCTTAGGTAACTTTTCAGTCAGCTCTTTTCTTTGATCCAGGCAGATAACAAATTTTGCAATTTGACCGTTGTGGCCATTATCTTAAGACGTTAATTCTTTTCACTAGCAATAACTCTTTGTAGATTATTTTAGTAATTTTCTTATTCCTAAAAGAAGTATTCCTTTGAAATGTAATTATAAACATTGTGTAGTATCTGAGAATTAAAAAAAAATAGTGCTGTCTGTGCATTCTCGGTTTCTTTTCTGAAGCTGTTTGTTCTATATAAGTGAACAATGAACAAGAATAGTAGCGCACTTCTTTAAAACATGGGGCCATGATCGTAAAAGAAGAAAGGCATCAAATCAATCCCAATAGCGGGCCCTTGGATTAGGAATGTTTGATGGTTTTTCAAAATCCAAAATAAGCATGGCAAGTGTGGTAGAAACTTTCCATATGGTGTGTGTTCTTGCATCTCTCATTGACTGGATTCCCAGTAATTTGCCCAAGGCACTTACTTTTTGATGACATACTAAAAAAGCTGAAGTTATGTTAGTAGTCTTATTTGGCATAAATACATACATATTTTTGAAAATTTTAAATTGTCACTTTCAATAACCTCTTCCTGAGGCTTGTACTGACAGCTACAAAAAGAGTAAAACACCTTGAAATTATTTTATGCAAAACATTGCAGATAGTGATTTTGAGGTTACAGAGCATTTACCATTCTTTTAAGTTAAAAAAAAAATTTAATCTGTGCCTTGTGGTTTGATGTCTTTTCAGTTAATAATTCCAGAGAAGCAGAATGGAATTTTTCCCAGAGCTTGAATGAGAGTTCAGAAGAGGAATAGTAGCTAGGATTATTTAACTCTTAAAGCTGAACAAATACATCTTTAAGCATTAGTCTTCTCTTTTCCTTCTCTGGTTTATTATTTTTTTCTGCTATTCCTTATTTTTTCTAAGCAATTTAAGATCTTTTCTTCATGTAGTATTTGTATATTCTGTAGTAATTAAAGGCATATTTAGACTCATGCCAGTTTAATGTATTGAAACATTGGAGACTCTTCAAGTTCCATTTCTTTGTGTTTAGGAACTTGAATTATTTGGAAAGTGCAAGGAAATACTGAGTTAATGTACCTGACATTAACTGTGTGACCCAAGGGTTGTTACCTGCGTTTCTTTGGACCATTGACTCAAATATTTTGATATATGGTGCCCACTGATAAGCTCCAAAAATGGTTTCAGGAATAAATTTAACTGTTGGTGATGTCTTCTGTTTACTGAAAACATTTTGAATTTATTGTTGCTTTCATGTACTCTGAGTAAGCTATAAAGTCTGGGAGAACAAACAAGGGTTACTTAAATAAGTTTAAGTAGAGAGCTGTATTTAAAATCCTATTACTTTTTACAAAAAACTCTTTTTTGGGGTTTATCATACTTGCCGGTTTGTTCTAGTGGTGTGATAAATGTAAGAATCCAGGCCCAGGGAAGAATACAGGAATCTTTATTACAGAATACATTTTGTGTATTGTAATTATCAGCTTATCCATTCTCTTCTTTTCCTCCCCTTTCAGAATATTTTTTTCAATTCACATGTAGGAATTCTCAGTTACTAATGTACTTATTTCCCAAAAGATTATGGGCGTATAAATATAAATGCTTTTAATGATATATAAGTTATGTTTTAATTTTGTTTTATTTTCAGTTAAATACAAATCAACTATATATTCTAATGGTTTCACTATTACATTATTTTGATATAAAAATCACATTCTTTGGGTTGTTTTATATATGTATTATGCATTAAAAAAGGAAGATTTTCTTAAGAACATTTTATTGATGTTCTTATTTCATAAATAATTATTTATGAAAAAGATTTAATTTGTTGAAAAAAGCTGAATGTTAAAACAAAAAAAACCCTCTAGATTAGCATCTACCATGATGATGATGTATTAATTTTATGACACTGAGTTACTCTGCTGAGAGAAACTTAAGATGGATTGAGATGCATGTGCTGTTAAAAATGCTGTATTTGCACTCTCAAATGAATCTTGCAGCTATTTTTTGTCTAGTGAAAATGGGAAATTTTCATTTTACACTGAGTGTAGAAGGAATAAAACCTTATTTTAAAACCACTACCACCTGCTAACTAAGGATTATTATTTTGGAGTTTGTTCTTTTAGAATTTTCTCCTTTGTTAAATATTAAAGAACAAGGAAAAGAATGGGGTGGTTTTAAAAATTAAGGTCATTATCTTAAACAACTAGACTTTAGTTAATGTTAGATTATGATAGCATGCTCCTTCTTCTCTTTCTACTTCTACTTCTTATTAACTCTGCTGTCTGTGTCTTTCCAGTTCCTGTCAAGTGGTATTGTCAATTGTGTTCTTGTTTGTAGTGTTTTTTTGTTTTTTTCCTACTATTCTGCACCTAAAACTGATCTACTAATTTGCTGTTTTGAACTCAGCCTTTGTCGGAATTATGGGTAACACAAGATCTTACAAACTGCTAGACTGGAATAGTTTCAATTCAGGTATTTTGATGGTCATCAGTACTACATATGCTGACAGAAATTATGGCAGCTCAGTGAAGTTTTTAGAAATGTTCTAGATTAAATAGATTTAATGTCAATTCAGTTATACAGATACATTCTGCAGTACATATGTTATAACTCTTACAGTTTCCATGGAAATGCAAACATAAAAATGTGTTAACTAAAATGAATTAAAACCATAGAAATACCATAAATTACAAATGGCTTTTGTTAGGTGATTAACTTTCAGAAACCTAAATTTAAATTATATTTATTACATTTTTGACAGTTTTTCATATCAGGTAAATAACATAGGCATTAGCTTTACGATTAAAGAAATATTAGTTGTTAATTAATGGCTAGTTTGATAAGCTTAAAGTATGTTTAAACGTTAATTTAGATTTGAATATAATATATTTAGTATTCTATAAGTACTATAAAATTGTAACTATTACCATTTTTATTTATAATTCCAGAAGTGTTTCAAAATTTGGTAAGCAAGAGCAGATTTGGAGGGATTAACGGCTTTCATAAGCTCCCTTCCTTCCCCTTCCATGTGAGAATATAATTTTTCTTTTTAAGTAATTTTACATATGGATATAGTTTATAGCTTTTAGAGAAACTAAACTAAGATAACTTTACAGCTGATGATGTGGTTTAGAGTCAAAGCCAATTTTTCTTTTTGATAAAAGTATATTCTTTTAATATAAATATGTAAATTTTTGTGTTATTTTGGAATTAAATAATAAAATCATTTTGATTCAGTAATAAAAGTTGGTATTTTGCCTGAAGGATTTTACCAGTTCTTTGTGTCAGAAAGTATATATCTATTTATAGAAAAACAAAAACACCAAGAGGCTCAGCATTTTAGATAATATCCCGTAATCTTTTCAATATTGTAAACTTTTTTTGTTCTTAGGAGACCAGGATGTAAGTTCTGATGTAAGTAATGCATGTTTGACTATGAAGTATCTCATGTTCATCATGCAGATTTACCTAAGTTCAGTCTAGTAAACAATCTGATCAGGTTCAACCTTTGCAGATTTAGACTAACATCAATTGGTACATCTTCAGGGAAATTAACTCTGTCTCCTATCCAAGTTTTTGCCAGCATGTTATCACATTGATTAGAATTAAAATAATCATTTTTAATGTAATATGTTATACTTGGTTTTTAGAGATAAAAATACCCTGCTGAATTCATTTAATAAAAATAAGAATATATTTTTAAAATGTAGTCAGATTAGTGTATAGGAAGTGAAAAAGCCTAATTATGTAAGAAAAGGACATTGGGAATAGACTGATCATTAATACTTTAAGGAGCTTAAACGTTGTCAGGGCAAAGATGTTTAGGGTGAGATGTGTGTTAGATGAAAGAACAGTCTTGGAAAGTAGACAAGTAGTTAAATCTTATAATACTTTGTCGCGCATAAGCAGAACTACAGAATTTGGCAAGGAGAAACATGGTTGAGGAAGCAGTATATCTTGCCATCATTTAAAATAAAGTCAGGTAGTGAGTGTATGAAAAAAAGATGAATATAAGTTACAGAATTTTAAAAGAATATCAGAGATGACTTTCAGTTTAATGTTCTCATAGCTCTGTGCTTTTGACTGAGATACTAGAATCTTTATGCTAATAGTACTATTCAGAGATCAGGCTGATTTTGATATTAGGTTAGGAAAAATAATGTGGTAATTCTGAAATACAAAAATGTAATATTTGATAAATATATTCAAATCATTTATGTATTTTTCTCTGTGATTAGGGAATAAGTTAGCCATTGCTGTCCTGTATTATTACCATAGAAAATCACAAATTGGCCACGTCAGTAAGAAAAATAATTGTTGATATAATTTTTATTAATGTTAGAAATTGTTCATCAATACTGTATTTCCTGGATTCTCTGACACCATTTATTATGTGAGGTATCACCAATTTAATAATAGCTTTCCAAGAGAAAAGAGAAAGAAACATTACCATATTTAGTATATTGATTAATTATTAGACATTTTTATTTCAGAAACATTAAAGTATGGAAAGATATAAGAACACGTTTTTATCACACAGTAGTATTTCATGAAATATGATCTATCGTGCAAGCATTTATTAGAACTTATTTTGTGCCATATGGTTTGCTAGACGATAGGTGTGCGAAGATGCCAGTCACCCTGCTTTCACGAAAGTCATATTCCGGGAGGTTAGAAAAATATGTTAATGGTTTACTGTGTGGTGTGGTATGGTGTGATATAAGATGCAGAATTAAAGAGGAAGGCGTGATTACGTGGCCGGGAAGCTTGGAGAGGTAATTCTTGAGTTTAGTTTGAAGGATATATAAAAGATTCACACAGATTTTATATTTCAGACAGTGTATTTGGAGGCATATTGATCCATCCTTTGAATGTAGTTCTGAAACTTTAGTAGTGCATTGCAAAACAATATCCTAGCCATTACCTATTTGATGATGTTTACGTAGTTACTTCATACCTATTGTTTGCCACTGAATACAGAATGTCTTTGTTAGTTCAACTTTTTTTGTGTATTTCCCTTTTTCTCCTGCTTTGCTGTCTTAGGTTGTGTTAACTAGAGTGATAGAAAATATTTTTATATAGCAGGGAGAAGAAAACTCAGTTATCTGAGAATTTATTTTAAAAATTACTTTATTAGCTTTTCTTATCTTGCTTCTTACGTTTCTGGCCTGGTAACAGACTTTGAGAAAGATAAGATGAATCTTGCTGCTAGAAAGGAGGAAGCAGCATTTGCAGATCTTGTGTATGATATGCCAGGAACGGGCTGCATAGGAATAAGACGGTATCCCACGGTCACATTTGTGTTAGATCACTGATTATAGAATGAAGAATGGTTTTAAAGGCAGCAAGCCTAGAGACAGGGAGGCCAGTTAGTTGACTGCAATACTCCTGGCCTGATAAGTGACCTAGGATTTGGTGGTGATAGGAGAGCCTAAAGTTTATAGAGCCCTTACTATGTGCCAGGCACTCTTCCTAGTGCTTTATGATAGCAGGTCATTTAATTCTCAAAACACAGCTCTGAGGTGGGCATTTTTCCTATTTTGTGGATGGGCAAAATGAAACATAACAATTTTCCCAAAGTAAAATAGAAATTTGTTGAGCTACAGTGTGAACCTAACTACTCTGGCTTCAGGGCTTACACTCTTAACATAAATTTAGAAAATATTTAAAATGTAAAATCAGCAGGACTTGGTAATTAGAATGTGGCAAGTCAAACAGTCTCTTAGCAACTTTGAGCTGAGAGAAAGAGAGAAAGATAGATTAGGATTATCCCACATAGCTACAAATCTAAAATCCCAGTGAGCAGTTGAATCCTATCTTTTGGAAACCCAAGTATATTTGAAAATTGAGTTGTAAAAATATTTTAAGAGTAGATTTTAAAAGTTTTAGCGCATTGTTTCTTAAATGGCTATGCTCTTTTTTTTTCTTCTGAGTTTACCATTGAAAGTATTTCTGAATAGCCTACGGATATAATTTTTAATTAGGAATAGTCTCAGTGTAGCTGAGAAAAATTTGTTATTCTTTTTTCATGTAGGATACATGTGAGCTTAGATATTTTTTCAGGAAGTCACAAGAGGAAATAATAAAGTAGCTATATAAAGTGATTTGAAAAAATGCTAGTTTGAAATAGCTTCCAAACTTAGACAATATTTTTAAGAGTGAATGTTTTAAGTACTGAGTTAGTTAAACAGCTTGTTTATTTTTATTTATTTTTTTAAAGATTTTATTTATTTGACAGAGAGAGAGACAGTGAGAGAGGGAACACAAGCAGGGGGAGTAGGAGAGGGAGAAGCAAGCTTCCCGCTGAGCAGGGAGCCCGATGCAGGGCTGGAGCCCGATGCAGGGCTCAATCCCAGGACCCTGGGATCATGACCTGAGCCGAAGGCATACACTTAATGACTGAGCCACTCAGGCGCCCCCAAACAGCTTGCTTAAAACTAGATAACTTTTCTTCTGTTTTTGAGAATATTTTAAAAAGTTATATTTTATTGTTTTAGATTGTAGATTTTAGGACATATGCTTAAGATTTTGTCAGTCTTATAATAAATGAACCTTTACTAGTGCTAAGGGAAGCTTTACATTAGTGGTCTGAATTTAGAAAATGTTACTCTTTTTATTTGGTCATCTGAATTATAGTTGTTTAGAAAATTTACTTTTCTTTGGGGTTAAAAATTAATAATCAAAACCAAGAAAAATAAGTATAATTATTACTTTAAACATATTTTAACAAAATGAGTCAACTGATGTGTAAGGAAATATTTACGGAATACACATATCATTCTGATTTTTTTTTTTTCAGTTTTAAGTAAAAATCTTTTATTCAGTGGATGTTTGTGATGTGCCTACCATGTCTTGAGCATGACGTTGGGGATTGGGAACATGATTGTTCAGCCAGGCAGACAACCTGTTTATACACCCAGTCTAGGCTATTTCTTATACTATTTTGCTGTGTGTATGTGTGTGTGTAGTGGTGGTGGTGGTGGTGGTGGTGGTGGTGGTGGTGGTGGTGGTGATGGTAGTAGTAGTAGTGGTGGTGGTGGTGGTGGTGGTGGTGATGGTAGTAGTGGTGGTGGTGGTGGTGGTGGTGATGGTAGTAGTAGTAGTGGTGGTGGTGGTGTAGTAGTAGTGGTGGTGGTGGTGGTGATGGTAGTGGTGGTGGTGGTGGTGGTGGTGGTGGTGGTAGTAGTAGTAGTAGTTAAATGGAGAGAGGCTTTCTTGGAACTTGAATTCTACTGATTTGAGAGGTACTCATGAGCAGACGTGCAAAACTAAGCCTAAAGTAGTTAAGCAGCTTTTGGTTTTAAGAATTTTAATAAGGGTTTTAGGAAGTAGGTATTTAGAGTTCAAGAGGGCATAAACATAGCCATGTATGATGTGTGAGCTTCTCTTTATATGTAATGTAACATATAAATGTAATAAATAATTTTGTGTATCTATAGTGTAACTGGATATTGACTACTGTCCATTCTTTATTATCTGTAAAAAGTGAGATATGTAATTTCCTTAATTTTGAAATTTTACTCTTTATATATATCTAATATAACTGGATATTAATTACACTATTATAATGTGACATGTAAATGTAATGTATAACTTTATATATATAAAGAGGGAAATCTCACAGATAAGGAGTAATTATATATCTGACTTATTTTATAAATAGTGAAGACTCCAGTTTGATCTAACATGGATTATATCCCAGCTACCATCCTAACATCCCAAATTACTGATGTCTGCTATGAATTTGCACATCATTTCCTCCACGATGGGACTGTTCTTCCTAGGTTGGTACTGAATCCCCACCTAGTTTGAGATTGTATACACACTTAAACCTGAACTCTCTAATTTCTGTTTCATTAGGGGAAATTTATCTTCTTCAGAAAGTTGTTTTGTGTTGGAATAATACTTTAAGGTATTTAAGAATGTGGCTTTCTTATGCTGTCCAATAACAAGATAGATTATCATTGTATTAAAAATGTTTATTTGAGCCCACCTAACACTTGATCTCCTCTTGTTTATTTAAAAATTAGATTGAATAATTGTCCATTTCCTTTTTTTCTTTAAGTCATATTAAAAGAGTCTCAGTGGCAGAATTATTCTCTTCCAGAGCTATGTAAAAATAGAATTAAATTGAACACTTTAGGTAGTCAGTGTTTCTTAGTTGCAAGTGTGTGATTGCCTAAAATCTCAAAGGGATTCAGTTTTATAAAGGCATATTATGTTGAGTTGTTCACTTCTTCACTTTCTGAGATAGAAGCATTTATTTTCATTTTAGGAATCTTTACCAGTTTCACCTGCATTTCAGAAATAAGATAAAATGTTAAAAAGATGGCAAGATATCAAGCTGTGGCCATGCTCTAGAAAAGTGACAGTAGTAAAATGAATTAATTGTGATGCCAACCCAAGTGTGCAGACATTACCTCTAAAAGAAGCATCAGTGAGGTATTGACCTACAGCCCAGTTCATGACTACAAATAAAATGATATATTAAAAGATTTGTGGGGCACCTGCCTGGCTCAGTTGGTGGAGCATGCGACTCTTGATCTTGGGGTTGTGAGTCCGAGCCCCATGTTGGGTGTAGAATTACTTAAAGATAAAATCTTAAAAAAAAAAAAAAAAAAGGTTTGTGATATTATCTATGAAGAGTTTGACCCATAGGAGAAAAACATAATATAGTATGAAATATAATTTATATAATAAATAAATTTTAATATCTTCTAAAATGAGGTCTTTTTTAAAATTATAAATAATTCTATGGATGATTAGGAGGAGCATGGTGTTTAAAGTGAAGATGTTTTTTTCTTGACATCTCTGAAATGATTAATTGCACCTTCACATCTCAGCTGTTTTTCCTTCAAATGACTAAGTTGTATTCAGTTTCATGAGTGGCATGTATAGTTGCCATAAATTTTTAAGCCAGACTCTTTGTTTTGCCTTTTATATGAGTATGGTAGATCCTCAGTTTTGACTTTTGGAGAGTGAATAAAACAATTCAAATTCAACTAGTGTGTTTCTTAGAAGAATATAGTTAACAGATTTTTAAGCTTTAAAAATTCTATTATAGGATTAAATATGGTGATTTTTCTGAATTTTCAGTTATGTAAGTTAGGCTGAATCATTACCATGTGAATATTCTCTGGCTCATCTCTGGCATAAATATAATATAGGCTTTGAAGATAAATTTAATTTTTAAAATATTAAATAAATTGATTATTCTTAATTTTATTTTAATTAAATAGTCCCTAAATTTAATAGCCAACAAATTCATTCTTTGGCTTCTTGCTTACAGTTGTAGGTAATTATTGTTAATTCAGTTCCTAGTTTGTGATGAAGTGCTCCCTACTGTATGCTTGCCTTGCTTTCACCTAGAATCTAGGGCCATTACTTTCTGTAACCATTTCAGTGAGCTGCCATAGTTTTCAGTCTGTACTATCACCTGATCCAAGCATGCGCCAAAATATCCACTGTTTCTGGCTCCTGTCTGCTGAATCTGCTTTGCAAAACCCTTTGTTCTCTGAGCTTTTGCTTAAGCCAAAAACAAAATTTAACAAATTCTTTGGAGTGTGGACATATGCCATTTGCTTCCTTAGCTCCCATGTTATGTAACTCTTTAGCTTTTATTGAACTTGTAAATACTTTATTAAATACAACAATGGCATCCCCATGTGCAGTTGTGTGGCTCATGTGTCAAAATAAAGGCTGCTTGTGAACTTGTCAGAAGAATATGAATGCTCCACTTGCGCTGCATTCAGCTTTTTATTTTGTTTATTATTTTTTTAAATCAGCCACTTATTCTTTCATAGTTTTTGGTTTAATTATCTGATTATTTTATGTGTTATACCAAGGTAAGTTTGATGTAAATAAACTTTGTATTCTATGTGGTTATATGTATTTCACAGTAATTATTATTACATACTTTTCCATTTAGACATGCTGGCCATTTCTAAATAAATATATTCTGAACTTAAAATAAGTAACTTCCTCCATTTTTTTGAAATAAATTAAAAAAAAATGTTATGGATTACTTTCTGTAAAATTCAATTTAAAACAGAAAGGCTACCATGTATTACTTGTGGCACAGATGTAGGCAAGTCTAATGTGAGAAAATCTGTTTTTATAAAAACATAGTATACAGTTATTTGCTTTAGCAAATAATATTTTAATCTCCCAGAAACGTTTAAAAAGTAAATAGCAGGTTCAACTAGTGTTTTTAAAGAAAAGTTAAACTTTATTTTACACAGTTTTTCAGGGAAAATAGTTTTCTAAACTGAGATATATTTCTATTATTTACGATAACTGTTTTCAGAGAATCATGAATAATTTGATAGATTGAGCAGCTGCTTGAGTAAGTTTTTGTCTTATGATAAAAATTCCTTTATTAGGAAAGGAAGATGTTAAATAGATACCCAAATTGGTCTGGGAACATGTATGCCTAAAAGAGAGAATGGATTTGAGAGTGTATTTGTGCTGTTAATGTCTATATTTCAGGGGGAATATGAAGAAATTCTTTAACATAATGTACGTGCAAAATAGGGCTACCTAATTGCCTACACATTTCTTAATTCATAATATTGATTGCTAATACCATATTGTAGTCTTTTCTATTTCTCTTCTTTCTTTATTTTATCTCGTCCTTGGATCTTTTCCTCAGTTTCCTGGCGTCTGCATTTCTTTGTTTTTTTCTGAAAGAAAGTTTTAGTGTAGCTCTGTCTTGGATCCAAAACTTTAATACAAGAACTGGCTGGCATCATTTGTAGCTCTGGCTTTTATCTCATTTCTCCCTTTTGCTGATCTCCTCCCTGTGGAGGAAACAAAATCACATCATAGGAATGTCAGCTATAACAAGCCTTTTAACCTTTCTTTATTTTGCTGTCTTCAGTATTTTACTAGTGAGTATAATTCCACTTATTCTACTTATTTAAAAAACATATTTTGAAAACTGGATATGTACTGAAATTCAAAAACGCAAGTTTTTGGATTGTTTGATTTTCAGTTTTAATAGTGCCTTTTATGTGGAAAATTTACAATAAGAGGTTAGCCTTCTATTTAGAGTTAGATTAAGTTTTTTCTATCCCAAATTGTTCCCAAATGAAATTGACCCCAAAAAGAAACACATTAGAATATGCTCATTATAGACTGATTTGTACATAAAATGTTACTATAATTTGCAGCTGCTCTTCCCCAGTGGTTTGCAGCCGCATGCACGTGATTAGGCCGTATGTGTGCCAGATGCTCCATTTATAATGCCCCATTACAAGCAGTGCTGGACTCCTCTGTGGTAATAAAATGCAATGCGGTGATTCTGAGGCATTTTCTTAATTACAGAACCATACATGAAGTTACAGTGTGTTAACTGAAATTAACCAGATTATTTGTCATAATCTTTAAATGTATTTGCTTTTTTTATTTTAAATTGGCTAGTTCCTTCATTTCTTGTTACTTTGCTTTAGGACCCACAAGGATGGCTACATGGCTTTCTCTTTTTTAACATTGACAAACCTTTGCCTTGGAAAGAACCTAGAATATAGTGGGTTATAAAAAAATAGGTACCAGGAAATGAAATCAGAATTTAAATTAAATTTATGGCTATGACTCAAAATGTTCACTGAGCAAGGTGAGTGAGACACAGAATATCCTCTCAGTTTAGGATTAGAATCTGGAAACTCTGGGTCTACATTTTAAGTTACATCTAATAAAATACATCCCTATAGATGTGCCCTGAAGTAATAAAGCAAATAGAACTAGTTGGTTTATTTTCTGTCACTCAAGTTTAAAATATTAAACTTTTTGAGAAGTAACATTAAATTAAAATGTTAATAAGCATTTTGAGAATTTTCACATTTTAAACATGTGAAGTTAGTTTTAAAATCTGTTATAGACCAGTATGTCTTTGCCTTCCAGAGTATGTTTATTTTAAACATTTCTTTATCATATAGACAATGTGCTATTGAGTAGTGAACTGATTTAAAATTTATTTTTCAGATGAACCAGAAACTCGAGATGCGTGGTGGGCAGAAATCAGACAAGAAATAAAATCACATGCTAAAGCATTAGGCTGTCATGCTGTAGTGGGCTACAGTGAATCAACTAGCATCTGGTAAATGATAATAACTTGATTTTCTAGATGCTGTAATTTACAGATTGTCATCTGAAAGGGTAAAAGGTTTATGCAAGTATAGAGAAAAGAATTGTGGTGTGATCTAGGAGCCATGGGCTTTGGAGTACATCAGACCGAGGCCCACGTGCCACTTTGGCCACTTAATTGCTGTGAGACTTTGGGAAAGTAACTACTCCTCTGAGCCTCAATTTCTATGTTGAAATGGAGATAATGATCACCTATCAATTAAGATTTTTGAAGAATTAAATGAGAATTGATACTGGCACATAGCAAGTATTAATTCTAGGCCAACTTTACTCCACTTTGTGACCCTGCTAACTCCTTCCTCTGGGATATTGGGACCCTTGATCTGTTGTAAATGAACACCATTTTTCTTTAAAGTTTGTCTGTAAGCTCTTTCTGCCTTCTGTTCCTAATTTGTAACGTAAATTTCTCCTGCCAAGTTAGGAAGGGACTTCCACACTCTTACTCTGAATTCCTTTTTCTCCTACCTTTCGTTTGAATAACCTCTCTTACTTTAAAGTCCTTGCCATTCCACAGTTCAGACTTTACTACCTCCAAAACATTCTCCCGCCTTTATTAATTCTGTGCTATCTCCACCGGTTGAACATGATTACTCTCCTTCTAACAGCTTGACCTTGTGCTTTCTCATTCTCAAGTCTTCCTCTATCCCCACATAACTTTCAACCACATTTTAGACTTCATTATTGCTCAAAACTGTTTCCCTTTAAAAATTTGAAACTATAAAATTTCACTCTTGGATCACAGCTTAATATTTTCTACCCATTTACACCTGGTTTATTTTGACACTTACCTTAAACAAGACTTTGCCCAGTTCCTTACTCAGGTTCTGATTTAACTTTCTGACTGCTATTGATGAACCATATTTTCAACCCCTTGAAAAGTTTATAACAGATAACATCTAGAAACTGACCTTCTGCTGTCTTATTTTTCCACCTATTCTTGGATAATTCTTACTGTCAGCTGTTACCTGGGTAATTCTTTTGTGCATATGGTGGTCTTTATTGTTAGAGAAAAATGATTAGACTCCAGTAAATGTGGACATTACAGAGCCAAGCCATGCTGTTTCATCTTCTAAGGGCCCTTTCTTTTCTTTTGCTGACCATGTATGATATTCTTTCACCTTTCTGTCCCCAGTGTAGCTATTCTACTTGTGTTAAACTAGTAATTTGTTATGCTTATCCTGCCTTACTTCCCAATAGATAGTTTTGGCTCATTCATAGTTTTAGTGTCATATGCTTTCAGGTCCTAAGGTTATGGTCTTAAAAGACATAGTTGTTTTTTTTTTAAAGATTTTAATTATTTACTCAGAGAGTGAGCAGGGGGCGGGGTAGAGGGAGAGAGAGAATCCCAAGCACACTGTGCTGAGCACAGAGCCTGACTCGAGGCTTGATCCCACGATCCAGAGATCATGACCTGAGCCGAAATCAAGAGTCGGTTAACCAACTGAGCCACCCAGGGGCCCTTAAAAGACATAGCTCTTGCCATCAGATTCATAGTCTACTGGAGGATTATGACAAGTATAACACATTTTATGATAGAGATATCCCAGGATGCTGTGGGATCCAGAGGGTTGGAGTTTAGAAGTAAGATTGGAAGAAAGTGTTAATGAAATAACTGAAATTTAAACTAAATTTCAGGGGATGACTGTGAATTATGTAAATGAAGAGGGGAGGCATGAGAAGAGTGTTCAAGGCCAGACGAGTAGCATACAGAGAAGGCCAGAGGTGTAGATTCAGTGTGGCAGGAGATAAGTCACAGATGCAGGGGTCTAAGAAATAAGTCCATTTACTTAGAAGTAAATTGATTCAAGCCCCTTTTTTTCCTCTGGACATCAAAAAAAGTCTTTGTATTAAATCCTATCTACTAATTTTTTTTCTGTTCTAATCCATCCTGTTTACTATTACTGGATAAACTCTCTGAAATGTACTTCTGCTCTCATAGCTCCTTCTTACTTAATTCAGTACCGTCAGTGGCTCCACATTATTCCTTGACATTTCTCAGTGCCCACTTAAAAGCCTGGCTTTTCTACTAAATCACAGATCAAGTGACCATTTCTTTCATGTCCTTTCAGGCTTCTGGTCCATTTATACTTTGTTTCCATCATTTTGTCCCTAGACTGCTACTTTTCTCATTTGCTTTGGGTGATTTTATTCAATAATTATATTGATTATTTAAAATTAGGTGATATGTAATCAAGAATTCCAAAGAATTCTTTTGAAAATCACTTTTTGTCATACATATAATGATGTAGTTTAAGCTCCATTTAGTGTATTTTGGATATTGTTTGTTTCAGATACCTTTTGTATTAAGTTTAAATTAAGCTATAGCAATATTAACATTGATCATTACATATTAAGCTTTTAAAATAATTTTAACAAACTTTAATATGCATTTAAAGAGTGCTTTAATACAGTTTTATGGATTATTGCTGAATTCAGCAATATAATTTGTTACTACTTTTATTTTGAAACATTCCAGTATTTATCAGTTTTACCATATTTTAAAGGAATTTACTGTCATTAATATTATACTTTATCTTTTATACCTTTTAAGGAATAATTCTTGCCCTTTTCATTTTAATAATTATTTTTTATCCTAGGGTAGGAGATAATCCTATGATATTATTAATATTAGTAGTCTAACTTGAATTTAAATTGTCACCCTTATAAACACTTTGATGTTTAACATTTTCCAAAGCTAGGTTGCCTGAAGATATTAACTATTTTATATTCTTTTCTTTTATAGTGAAGAGGTCTGTATTTTATCTGCATCCGGCACGGCAGCTGTACTCAACCCTAGATTTCTGCAGGATGGCACCATGGAGGGCTGTTTGGAGCAGAGGTTGTCATGGCAGGCTGGCTTATTTTCTATAAGGGCAAAGAAGGGAGAAGTTGACTTTTAACTTTAGAGCCAGGATAGTTCTGTATGAGGGTGGGTTACTGTGGTGCACTATAGAAATCAGGACCAGTGCACTTTACTGCTTTTTACCTAACCTGTAGCAGCAACAGAGAAGTGCTGAGTTCTGTACTACGTGACACACCTTATTATAATTTTCCTAGTATCTTGATAAATTACATGTGTGACTCTCAAAGAATTTCAAGTATATATTTTTTTGTTTGTTACACTATAGAAATAATTTTTATTTTTTCCTTTCCCTTTGTCTTACCTCTGAAACAGAAAAAGTTCATGAAATAATTTACATACAGAAAATTTATAATTTACAAAACAATCAAAACACTATATTGTACCAAAATTATATATAAAAGTTCCTGAAAAGTGAAGTATAACTTTAATCTTTGTGAAAGAGAAAGTAAAAGTGAAATTATTAATTTGAGATTAAAATGAGATTACTTTTTAGTTTATTCGTCCCTTAATCTGTTGGCTTCCATAAATGTCAAAAATGCTTTCCATAAACAGATGAAATTATCAAATATACATACAGAAAACTATTAGTTTGGTGCCAAAGTATACCTGGATAATATAATTTTAATTACTCCTTACTCCACTGTATGCATATTTGCTTTTTTTTTTTTACTATAAATTTGCAAGTCTCTGTATAATAAAGATATTCTAGCTCAGGTGGGCAAACAGAAGACCTTGGTCGGTTTCTTCTTTAGCTTGTATTAAAGATGGATTTTGACCGTAATATATTACTGAGCATTGAAAGTCATCATAAATAGGAAAATGGAGGTGTGGAACATTTTGAAGTATGTTAAAAATCAGAGTGTTCTGTTGAGAAAACTGCATGTCGGTGAGTTGTCCAGTGCTGCAACATAGTTCTGACACATGTCAGTTCATTTCATTCTTGAGTAGATAGAAGCCTGATTTAACAAATGACCTTTTCCATGCAGCTTGATTATTTTGGTATTGTGGCTTGGATGGATACAGTGAATTCTCTTATATGGCAATCTAGAGCAACAGATTCCATCCCTCTCTGTAAAAGAGGAAAATGTCTTTTTTTCTTGCTATAAAATTATTTCTGCTTACTAGAGAAAATTTGAAAAATATAGGAGAGTAGAAGGAAGAAAATGTTCCCTATGATCTCAGTATTCAGAGACAATCCCTTTTGTATATTTCATATTTAAAATGCTTTCTTAAATTTAAATACTTCTGTTTTTATGCCTGTGATATTACATCACTTAAGTTCAAATTTCTGTGAGGTGTTTAGTTAAAAATTGCCCCAATTTTCATCGTTTTATGCCCCTTTGTAACACGTGGGCTTTGGTTCAAACAACCTGACATTAGAATCTGAGGTCTGCTACTTAGTATTTAGTGTGACTGAACAAGTTACTTAGTATCTCAGGTTTGTTTCAGGCCAAGAAGAACTAGTTTTTGTTACTGTTTGCTGCATATTATATGGGGGGGGGGTGGTGTTTAGCTGTGTGTTCTTACTTAATCTTCAAAGAAAATGAGCCTTTCTGGGTAGATATTATTATTCTAGTTTTATAGAGGAGGCTCTGAGAAGTTAAATGACTTGTGCAAGGTCACACAACTCCACTTAGAATCTGTTTGATTTTCCTGTTACTTCTAATATACCAGCATGCCATCTCAACAATAAAAGAATAATACCTGGGAGTGATTAGATTTAGAAGGTTGTTGTGGATATTCAGTGAAATAATGTATATAAGAAATTTGCAGGAAGCCTGACTTGTAGTAGATATGGTATGAGTTTTCTTTCTCCTTTTTAATTTGTCCACTTGACAAGCTTCAACTTCTAACAGGTTGCTTTAGCTTGGAGTGAATTGAGAACATCTTTCCAGAGCCCTAGAAGGTGTGGCTGTGTGAAAGTCTGGAGTTCTCTCTGGAACTTCCTTCTGCTTCCATTTCTGTTCCTCGAATTTCCTTAGATTGGAAGAGTGAAAAAAATACTTAATCATTCTAAAATGAATTCATAAACAACATTATTGCAACAAACATTTTACAACGATCGGGAAGGTTGTGTGTTGTCATTTGTGGTTTATATATGATATATATGTTGTTTGTGAAACAGGTGTATGGTTTCTCAGAAATCATAAAGCAGTCATTGGAAATTAGAAATGTTAGATTATGCCTATTTTTGACTTTTTAATGGGGTTTGTTTTTGATCATAATTTTTTTTTTCTCCAAGTTGTTAGGTTGTCTGGTTAAAGAGGTTTTTTTTCCTTGGGAATATTTTTGTGATTATATTTGAGTTATATTTGTCGGATAGTAGGAAAATGTCACCCATACCTAACCATTTATTTTTATTGTTGTGTCACAAAGAATAAGCTCTCGGATAATAGTGGTTTTTGTCAGGTGGGACATCCACAAACATATGAATTGATGCAATTCAGTGACTACTTGTGTAAGTTTTTTCTCACTAAAGTGTATGGTTCTGATTTCATGGTCATTTTTAATTCTTAGTAGTCATAGTGGTACTCTCATAACCTACTGTGGAAGTTGTGTAGTTTGTACATAAGTACTGTATATGAAAAATATGTTTTTGAAAAAATGCATAGAATTTTAAAGAATGCTTCAATTTTTTTTCTTGATGTATTCATATAGGCTAGAAGAAAATTTGCCTGCAGGCTGTGGATTTTGCCACATACCATATGATGAACTGAATATGCCATTTCCAGCTCATCTCACATACTGCTATAACTGCAGGAAACAAAAAGTTCCTGATGTTCTCTTTACAACTATAGACCTCCCAATAGATGCAACAGTTATTGGAAAAGGTTGTCTTATTCAAGCAAGGTATATTTGTGCAAGTAGTATTTGGGGTCCTTGAAAGAGTTATGGGATATGAAGTCAAATAGACCTGTTTCAAATGTCAGCTGTACTGTTTCCTACCTGTGTGATCCTGGGCAGGCTGGGCAATGCTATCCAAATCTTGTATTTAATCACATAGAAAATTGGGAGGAAGAGTACACTCTTTATAATAAACTCAAATAAGTTCATATGCAAAAGCAGTTTTAAACATTTAAATTCTGTATAGATGTTTACTATTATGAAGATTACTAATTAACCTGTTGCAGGATAGTAATGTGGCTCTGTTTTAAGGACATTAAATATGTAATACATTTTAGAAATTAATTTTTTTCTTATAAAGAACAGTGCCATGTAGTGTTTCTTTCACTACTTCATTTAGCTGTTAACAGTTCCTTTTAGAATGTATTGGAGCAGGAAATGCTAAATTGTGGTTGGCATACAGGAAGCAGCCATAACTGTCTAGGTCACTAACAACTGCCAGGTTACCAAATCCATTGAGCAGTTCTGTCCTCATCTTACTTGACATGTCAGCAGTATCATACAGTTGATCATTTTCTCCTTCATATTCCTTTGACTTCATAGTGCCCCCTGCCACCGCCACCCCAGGTTTTTCCTACCTTTATGTATAATCCTTAGTCTTCTTGTTGATTCCTCCTCCTTTTCTTTTCTTTTTTTTTTTTAAGATTTTTTATTTATTTGATAGAGACACAGTGAGAGAGGGAACACAAGCAGGGGGAGTGGGAGAGGGAGAAGCAGGCTTCCCGCCGAACAGGAAGCCCGATGCGGGGCTCAATCCCAGGACCCTGGGATCATGACCTGAGCCAAAAGCAGACGTTTAACCATCTGAGCCACCCAGGCACCTCATGGATAGTTCTAATATCTGAAATTTTTTGTATTCTGTTATTTCTGTTCATTATTATTCATTGTGTTTTGTTTCCTTAGACTGTGATTGTCTCACAGGAAGTTGCAAAAGTGGTACAAAGAATCCCATCTACTCTTCACCCAGTTTTCCTCATTGGTGACATTTATACAGCTATGTAGAGTATCAACTAGAAAATTAACATTGGTGTAATACTGTTTACTATACACCTTACTCAGTGTTTATACATTTATAAACTTGCATTCATTTCTGTATTTGTGTGTATATGTATAGTTCTGTGCAACTTTATCCCACAAGTAGATTTGTGTAACCACCACCATGGTTAAGACACAGAACTGTGTTCCATTACCACAAAAGAATCTCCTTGTGCTATCTCCTTATGTTTATATTCTCCACTAACCCCTTGCCCTGGTCCTGTAGTGCTTTTAAGAAGATTCTTAAAAAATATATAAATTTATCCAGTTTTTTGTTTGTTTGTTTGTTTTAGGTAGGAAGGAGTTAGTGTCCATCAGCAGTTTTCAGAGTGTCATCCCTAGACCAATAGCATCACCATTCTTGAGAGAACTTATAGAAATGCAGATTCTCAGGCTCTACTCCAGACCTGTTGAATCAGAAACTCGGGGGATGGGTCTTAGTAATTGTTCTTTAATGACCTCTCAAGCTAAAGATTGATAACTACTAACCTAAATACCCTGGTTTGTCAGTTTTGGGATCTTTCCTTCATCTTTACTGCTACCTTTTTAGTCTAAGCTCTCATTGTCACCTATATTGCTTTTTGCAACCATCTCCTCATCAGTTATGTCATCCTTATTCCATGCTCTGTATAGCAAGATAAATGATAGCTTAAAACATAAATTGGATCATGTTACTACTTAAAACCTACCTGGAGTTTCTTATTGCTGGTAGAATAAAATCAAACTCCTTACCATGACCTGTATGTAAGCCCCTAACATGATCATGCCCCTGCTTACCTGCACCCCCATCCGTACTACTCTCACCCTTGCTCACTTCACTTTAGTGTAGTAGTCTCCTTTTGGTTCTGCTGTTATGCCAGCCCCATTCTGTAATTGTCTTTCTCCAGGTCTCTTGGTTCCATCTTGATTTTAAGATCCCAGGTCAGGCATCATCTCTCCTGTGAGGCTTTCTCTCTATTTATTCCCACTCACTTCACCTGGTTCATTTTCTTCAGACAAGTCGTTACCTTTTTTCTTTGTTTATCCCTCCCCCCTCCATTGGAATATAACCATGAGAATAGGGACTCTGTGTTTTGTTTGTTGGTTAGTGCTTACCACCTAGAACAGTGCCTGGCACCTGATAGATACTCAGGAAAGTTTTGTGTTCTTTTAATGAGTAAATTAACTTTTTTCCTTTGCTACCCACTCATCATATGATCACATGGAGTTATGAAACCTAAGATTTTAAATTATATTCTCTAACAATTTTAATCGGTATTTTTTTCATTTCTGGAGATTTTGAGATTTTTCTTTCTCGTTTATTAAAATAGGACTTTTAGCAAAAGCATACACAAAACAATGGCAGAAAAGATTATTGATATAACTTAATAAGCCCATTTGAAACAAGTAAATGTTTTATTAGGTACACTTGTAGAAAGTTTTAAAAATTGGACAGTTCTTAAGATGGTACGAAGAATACTGTCTAGTGACTAACTTATTTTCCTTAACAGGTTGTGTCGCTTAAAAAAGAAAGCACAGGCAGAAGCAAATGCCACAGCTATCAGTAATCTGTTGCCATTTATGGAATATGAAGTGCATACTCAGCTAATGAATAAACTAAAACTCAAAGGAATGAATGCTTTATTTGGACTGAGAATTCAGATCACAGTGGGTGAAAATATGTTGATGGGCTTAGCGGTAAGTTTAGGTGTTTTGGTTTTGTCTTGTGATTCCTGTAGTTGTAATAGATTCTGTTTTGTGTGATTCAAAGAGTCTTTTAAAAGAACTTATTTAAAGAAACTGGCATTAAGATCTTTAAGGGTTGGGGACAGTATAAGAAATAAAAAATCTGGTGATAGGCTTTTAAATATTTTGTTTTTATAATTATTTATGAATTATTTAAAACTCAATTAATAAAATTATATAGAATTTATTTATATTTATATTATTATATTTTTATATTCTGACCATAATCTCAATAGTCAGATTTCTAAAAATTATCATATGTAGCTTGTTTAGTAAGTTGGTCATCATTGTTCTGGACTTCCTTATTTTTTATGCATTGCTAAAACAGGTTTTCTCCTCAGCACTGTTGACATCTGGGACTGGAAAACTCTTCGTTGTAGGGGGCTGTCTTGTTCATTGTAGAATGTTTAGCAGCCACCCTGGCCTCTGCCCACTAGATGCTATAATGGCTTCCCTTCAGTGTGACAAGCAAAAATGTTCCATACATTACCAGATGTCCCTTAGGGTGCAGGATCACTCCTGAGGGGGAGGACCACTATGTTAAAATAATCTTTAGTTGTATGGAGAAAATAAAGCAATACATATGAAACACTGCCTACTGCTGGATAGAGAATTACGTTTCATCATAAATGTGCACCTGTGGTCAACAGTGGAATGTGCAGTTAAGTATGTGTTTCTTTTCTTTTTTCTTTTTTTAAGTATGTTTTTCTTAAGTGTTGATAAATTGTGAGCCAGTGGAGGGGTGCTGGGTGGCTCAGTGGGTTAAGCGTCTGACTCTTGATCTTGGCTCAGGTCTTGATGTCAGGGTTGTGAGTCTGAGCCTGCTTTGGGCTCTATCCTGGGCGTGGAGCCTACTTAAAAAAATAGAAGAAAAATTGTGAGGGAGTGGAAAGCTCTTTATCTCAGCCTTATGTTCACCTTGGCTTAATAGAAAAGAAGTTCTGACTAGAAAGTTGTCAGTGGGCAAATAAGAGTTGTCTTTATAAGTCATCTGAGACCCAGAGAACTAGGTGCTTGCAAAATACATATTGACCAGGTAGAAACTGATTAACAGTATTTATGGAAGTCCTCTCCTATTTTAGACACTTTGCTAGCTAGAATCTTTATCTGTGACACTGGCACTTTTCAAATTGGAATTCTCTGCCATCTTTCTGAGATGCATAAAAATTTAATTTAAATAAATTTATAGAACTTGGATTTTTTTTTCTCAGTATGCGTTTGTAGATAAGATGCTAAACTCTTTCCTGTTCATACATTTACAAATATGTAAGTTTCTGTAGGTAGGGGATAACTGTGTGGTAATGATAAACACATCAAGTAATCACAATTTTTTAACGAGAAATTTGCAATGATTAATGAAAGTAATCTGATTTATATTAAAATGTTTGATATCTAGATTAACTTGTGAAGAAAGTGTTCATTATAATTCATTCATTTAAAAACTCGCATGCTTAGCAATTATTACAAATGTATAATTTGGGCTTAATACAAAACTGTAGTTATTGGTGGGTGTCTGTGAGAACTAAGAGCTTGATTCAGATTCAAAGATTTAAAAAGCATTGTGCCAACTGTATCAAATACTTCTGATGATTGAGCCCCAGGAAACTAGTTTGTGTAATTTTTCAGTGCCTGCCTAAAATACTGCCTTTTCTGATTCTTGCTAATCTTTTCCTTCTTGGCCACTAGTGACACTCATTATTAACTGTTTGAGGTTTTGATCTTTGTGCTGTGGTTTAGCTTGTGCACTTGAATCTCAGGGCCCCAAGGGTAGCTTCCAGGATAATTGATCTCGGATGAATGCCTACTGGGTATCTGGCACTGTGCTACGCCAGAAGGAATGCAATATTATCTTTCAAGAGGGGAAAATGGATGCTATGATAGATTGAGACTTGTCCAAAGTGGTCTGATTGGTACTGGAACTGAATTTCAAACCTAGGCCTGTCTTATTCCAGAGTCTGTGTTCTCGACCATTCTGGGCTGTTGCCTTGTTAGTGAGCGCAGTTAGAACGTGTTAGAGATGATGTGCTAATAAGGTTTCATACAGCAGGAGGATTCTAAGTTTGAGCATTAGAGACTGGGTCATACACATAGTCATGGACACTAATGAACAAACCAGGAGAGAGAGCTTCTGAGGATCAGTCTCATCTACTGCACGTCGTCATAGAGTATCATACCCTTTTTAGGATGGACTTTCACAAAATTGGCATTTAATTAGAAAGAATAATAACCCACACAGGAGGTTCGACTCTTGATTTCGGTTCAGGTCATGATTTCAAGGTCCTGAGATTGAGCCCTGCGTTGGCTTGACTGGGCGTGGAGCCTGCTTAAGATTCTCTCTCTCCCTCTCTCCTCCCCCCCACCTCACTTGCATACTCTCTCTTTCAAAAAAAAATTATAACAACTCACACAGTTCAAAATACACAAATATCCAAAAAAACAGATGTCTTTTCTTGTCTACATTCCACTCCTTCAATGTTAACAATTTGATATTTATACTTGTATATATATTTTTTGCTTTGCTTATATAAGCATGTTTAAATGTAAATGCACATGGGGTGTGTGTGTGTGTGTGTGTAAATATTGTGGTTTGTATTTCCCTTAATAGTTTTTTAGTGCTGATGGCATGTGGTACAGTTAGAGTCAGAAATTAATAGTCAATTAAATATTTAAAATAAATCTGTATTAAGTAGTTTCCTTTCTTGGTAATTATGAAGGAAGGGAAGTGTCATGAAAAGTTCTTGGGTTTTAGATTTTTTTTTTTTTTTTTTTGAGAGAGCACATGTGCCAGCAGGAGAGGGGCAGAAGGAAGGGGAGAAGTGGGCTCCCTGCTGAATAGGGAGCCTGAGGCGGGGCTCAATCCCAAGATCCCAGGATCATGACCTGGGCTGAAGGCAGACGCTTAACCAACTGAGTCACCCAGGTGTCCCAGGTTCTTGGATTTTAGAGTGAGAAACATATTCAAATTTCTTCTCCATGTTTATTGACAGTGTGATCTTGAGTAAGTAAGTTTCCTGTCCTTTCTGAAGTTCAGTTTCTTCACTTGTTTTGCAAAAGTTTCCCTTTTACTTTTGCCATTTAAAAGGGAAATTATTTACTCATTCATGAAACATTTACTTTTTAACAATTTTTAATCTTTTTTTCTACACTGTTTTTTAATTAATTTTGTTTTATTATGTTATGTTAGTCACCATACATTACGTCATTAGTTTCTGATATAATGTTCCATGATTCATTGTTTGCATTATAACACGCAGTGCTCCATGCAATATGTGCCCTCCTTAATACAAATCACCGAGCTAACCCATCCCCCCACCCCCCTCCCATTTGAAACCCTCAGTTTATTTCTGAGTCCATAGTCTCTCATGGTTCATTTCCCCCTCCGATTTCCCCCCTTCCCTTCATTTTTCCCTTCCTACTATCTTTTTTTTTTTATAACATATAATGTATTATTTGTTTCAGAGGTACAGGTCTGTGATTCATCAGTCTTAACACAATTCACAGCGCTCAACATAGTACATACCCTCCCAAATGTCTATCACCCAGCCCCCCCCACCCCTCCCACCCCACACCACTCCAGCAACCCTCCGTTTGTTTCCTGAGATTGAGTCTCTTATGGTTTGTCTCCCTCTCTGGTTTCATCTTGTTTCATTTTTTCCTCCCTTCCCCAATGATCCTCTGTCTTGTTTCTCAAATTCCTCATATCAGTGAGATCATATGATACTTGTCTTTCTCTGATTGACTTATTTCGCTTAGCATAATACCCTCTAGTTCCATCCATGTTGTTGCAAATGGCAAGATTGCATTTTTTGTTTTTGGGGATTTTTTTGATGGCTGCATAATATTCCATTGTATATTTATACCACATCTTCCATTATCCATTCATCTGTTGATGGACATCTGGGCTCTTTCTGTAGTTTGGCTATGGTGGATGTTGCTGCTATAAACATCGGGGTGCATGTACCCTTTCGGATCCCTACATTTGTATCTTTGGGGTAAATACCCAGTAGTACAATTGCTGGGTCATAGGATAGCTCTATTTTCAACTTTTTGAGGAACCTCCATACTGTTTTCCAGAGTGACTGCACCAGCTTGCATTCCCACCAACAGAGTAGGAGGGTTCCCCTTTCTCCACATCCTTGCCAACATCTTCATTTCCTGACTTGTTAATTTTAGCCATTCTGACTGGTGTGAGGTGGTATCTCATTGAGGTTTTGATTTGTATTTCCCTGATGCCGAGTGACGTTGAGCACTTTTTCATGTGTCTGTTGGCCATTTGGATGTCTTCTTTGAAGAAATGTCTGTTCATGTCTTCTGCGCATTACTATACTTTTTTCAATGCAGTTTATTTTTTACAATCATAAGGTAAAATTTAAAAGTGCTGTTGGGTATGCAGTGAAAAGTAGATCCTTCTTTCATTGCTGATCCACCTACCTACCCAGTATTCTTGCCAGAAGCGACCAATTCCTGTTACCAGTTATGTGTTTCTGTGCTCTTCCAACATATGTCCAGTACGTGTACTGATGCTAATTATCTTTTTCCTGTAAGGCAAAGACAGCTTTCCTAAATATGAACACTTAAGGACTATTATTCTTTAGCTATTTTTTCTGATTATTTCCCCCATTATTTTTACAAGTCGGCCACAGGTGTGTATTTAGCAGCTTTACCAACGCCTGGTGGCATTCAGATTGCAGGGAAGACTCCTAATGACGGTTCCTACGAACAGCATATATCGCATATGCAAAAGAAGATAAATGACACAATTGCTAAAAATAAAGAATTATATGAAATCAGTCCTCCGGTAAGTAAAATAAATCTGCATTGTGAATATGTAAGTTATTGTCTAGGGGTTAGTTTGTTTTGGGGTTATTTTGGACATAAAATATTTCTTTTTCACTGTTGAGAATTGTTCTCCTCATTCCTCATTCTTTTCACCTCCCTTTACAGTCATGCTCAAACGTCTCGTTTTAGGGAGCTGACTCTGACCACCTTATTTGAAAATTGTATTCTCCCATCAAGTTTTGATACTTCCTATCCCCCTTCTGTGTTTTATTGTTTTTTATTTCTCTTATCTGTGTGTGTGTGTGTGTGTAAACACAAATATGTTTTTGATTTTTGTAATTGCTTGTTACTCCTAGTAGAATGAAGCTCCCCTGGGTTTGTATTCCTGAGGCCCAGAACAGTTCTTCCTCATAGTAGCCTCTTGATAAATATTGCTGAATGATTAAATAAATGGTTTAAATGTTCATTTTTAGTAAAAGATTGCTTTTCTATGATTAAAATGTGAAAGAATACACCATTTTTCAGTTTTAGCTTCTTTCTCACGATTTTCCTACCAGTCACTTCCATAGTCAATCTTTGATACCAAATTTATAGTAGGTATCACAGTGTTGGGGTGCCTTATAGCCAGAGTCTGAATTGAAGGAAAGAAGTGTTGGAGTTAGAATGAATGTATTTGTTTTTTATGAGTTTCTGATAATGAAATACTTCTGTAAAAGGAAAGTGTTTGGGTAACATTATTATTGTTATTATTTGATTTCATACACATTTTGGTTGGTTGTCTGGGACAGTGCATCTGCATTCTAGCTTCAGACTTACAGCTTTGAGCAGAGTTAAGCTGAGAGGAATTTTAAAGATACAACAGAGCTACACTGTTAAGTGTGGTAGACAGTGGTCACATGTGGCTATAAAGCACTTGATATGTGTCTGGTTTGAATTGAGAGGTGCTATCAGTATAAAATACACAACCGGATTTTGAAGACTTAGTATGAAAAAGAATGTAAATTACTGTGAGTATTTTTTATTTTGATTGCATGTTGAAAATGTAATCTTTTGGGTAATAGTGAATTAAATAAAATATTTTATTAACATTGATTTTGTTTCTTTTTGATTTTATTACCTATGAGGCTTGCTTTATATTTCTTTTGAACAGTGCTGATATAGAGCTTCTTTAAATTCACTAAGGAAGTTGGTGTGTTAATATATTAATGCTTAAATAGCCATTGTAAAAGCTTTCCACACAACACTACTGACTGCTTGTCTGCAGTACATTATTTTTCTTTTATAATTATGTTTTGATATTTGAACATTTACAAATCGTGTTTATGCCTGTTGGGGAGAATGATTTGCAAAGCTTTATGTTAGGGCTCCATGATACAAGCTGAACTCTTTTGCTTACCAGTATTTATCAACTATGTACTTCTGTGCTGACCCCCCACAGGAAGAATTGACCCTCTCCTTCATTATATTCCTATTGTATCTGTATGTGCTTCTGTCATAGGGCCTGTTCCATATTATTGCACTTAGTTTTTACACATCTGTCTGTCTTTAATATGAGCCTTTTAAAGTCAGACATATTTAGAGAATGTGAATTAAATTCATCTATTCAATAGTTATTTATTGAACTTCTGTTTTACTAGTACATTTTAGAAGAGGGAATAAATCTGTTATGATTCTTAAAATTTCAGCATATCTGGATTTCTTGTGTTGAATATGACTATATTTCCACAAAAAGACTAATCAATTTATGAATTTTCTAATATGTCTCTCATTTCAGATACTGAATGCATTATATCTTTCAGCATAACATCTCAGAATTTGTTTCCCAAAGTCAGTGTAGTAGGCCACTACTCATATTACAATTTTGTCTTTTCTGTTTCTAAAACAATGTATGCCCACCCTGAAAATGTGGATCAGTGTGTTTCTTCTCTTAGGAAGGTAGCTCCAGCTGAAGTGAATGTACTTGTTTGATTTTTTTTCTCAACACTGAAAAATCTTTCTAATGTGGAGTAGTAACACTTAAATGGAGATAATTCAGTCAACCAAAGGTATCAAAAGGTGCAAAACTTTTAGAATAATAAACGGTACCAGTGATGAAACTTTGTCAAGAATCTAAGATATATTAAATAACAGATAGTTGCTTTTATTAGGTCCATAATATAATGAACAGAAGCATAACCAAATCTTTTAAACTACTAAAAAATTATAAAAAGAAAGGTGTTATCTAGTGGGAAGAACATTGCACTGGATAGGTTTGTCACTTAAACTAGTTTTCAAGCCCAGGCAAACTGCTTTACCTCTGAACTGTAGCTCTTTCTCATTTTGTAGTCATTATAATAGGCACCCTGTCAGAATTATACAGGGCAAGTTAATTTGGGTACAAATAAGAGAAATAAATGTGAAATTACTTTATAGATTGCTGTTATGAAATTGTGGTAGTCTTACATAAGGTATGCACTAACAATGAACATTTAAAGCTGCATTTTTGAAAAAAATATTCTTATATTCCTTGTTTTTTTAAAAAACATAGCTCTGTTATCCCAACAATAGGCTCTGCATTTTGCATTTGTGCTCACATATTCACATTCTGATAATCCTGTAGCCAACAGATATTTAGAATCTCTGGTTAGCTCTGATCTTTGGCTGTGTAGTAGGTGAAAGCTTGCAGACCCATATAGGGTTGCACCATACACTGACCTCAAAAAGATGATTGTTGTAGCTACCAAAGTTTATTTAGCTTAATAATTTGCACAGCAAATACCTGCATAATATATGTATTATGTATACATGCACACATTTATCCCTCATTTTATTATGTGGAGCTTTGAAAAATTACCACTGGATAAGAAAAGATATAAAAGTTTAGAATCCTTTTCGGAGACTACATTTTTAATTATTTCTGGGCTGTTCGGTCTTTTAAATGCTGAGTAGAAAATACCTTCTGAGCTGGAAGGACTGCCAATTCCCTACTCGTTGTGGTGTCTGCTCTGTACACTAGAGGTCAGTATTGCCTTGCTATCTGTGGCAGTCCCATATGTTAATGGATTAGTGTATCAAGGCTGCTATTATTGATAAGAGGAAATATCCATGTACTCCATAAAAGGCTAATTAGTTATAAAAGTTATAATTAAATATAGGCTGTGAATATATTTTACAGACTTTTTCTCTACAGATATTTATTAATATAAAAATTTAAAACCAAACTGAAGTGTACAAGTATTGAATCATGTTGTATATCTGAAATTAATATAACATTATATGTCCATTATACTTTAGTAAGAGGAAAAAAAGACTGCAGTTTACAAAATAACTCCCAAACTGAAAAAGACAGTCTTATATGATATAAAGCAATTGTATTTCTTTTAGGATATATCTGAAGAGATTATAGGATCACCCATCCCAGAACCTAGGCAACGCTCAAGACTTTTAAGATCTCAGTCAGAAAGCTCTGATGAAGTTACAGAATTGGACCTTTCACATGGGAAAAAAGATGCTTTTGTTTTGGAGGTATTATTGCATTAGACTAATTTCTTAAAGTTTTTGGAAGATAAGATTTTCATTGTTACAATCAGATCCTAAATTGATGTGATGTGATTTTGTATTATTACAACTGCTATAAATATATAAAAATTTTATTATAGAAATTACAACAAATTTGAAAATATTAGAAGCTGGTAATATATTTTTTTGATCAACACCAGGTACAATAATGCAGGTAGTTCTGGAAAAATTAATGTATGGGTTGAAATAAATTTAAAATAATGCTAAGCTTAGAGCTAAATTCTTAGAGCTATTTTTGTAATAATGCTAAATTCTTATAGCTATTTTTGTAAACTTGAATGAATTTAATTAAATTAAAATGCTATTCTTTGACTTCCTATGTTTACTTGCTTCATGTGTTATAACATGTTAGTATAATTGTATCCTTTTACATGTGGTATAATAGCACTACCAATTCTGAGTGTAGTGTTTTCTCACTGAATTCGGAAGGTATAGTTGAACTTCCATTATAAAAATACACTGAAAACTTCCCTGGAGAATAAATGTGGCATGGAAGATGTATGGAGCTTCCTACCTCACAAATCTGCTCCCTCTGCCCTGCCCTGTAGATAGTTTTGATGGAGATAGATGATCTTCCTTTGGTATTAAGGAAAGGAAAACAGAAATGTTCTGGTAGGTTCCAGTTGAGAGAAAAAAACAGATGCCTTTATTTTAGGACAGCAAAAAGCTCATGGTAGAATTGTATTGGGATGGGATTAGAAGTTTGAAGAATCTAGAACAGTGCCCATGATCGTGATCAGGTTGTTAGCCATGGGAGATGCACAAGACTTAACTGAGATGAGAGTGTTAATTTGTAGAAAACTCAGACTGTATGGATGTGTTCCTGTTTCTCATATTTTTCTAGTCTGAGAATGAAAAAAAATGGAGGTTGGTAAAAGAATATGGTCAGACTGAGGAGGTAGAAGTTTCTAGGGTACTGTTCGGTGTAGTGCTACTTAAAGTGTGCTGTGGCTACCTATAGCATCAGCACCATCTGGAATCTTGTAAGAAATGCAAATTCTGGAGCCCTTGCTTCAGACCTAGTAAATGAAAATTTCAAGGTAGGTCCCAGGAATCTGTTTAACAAACTCTCCGGTGATTCTTAGCATTCTAGAATATTATTGATCTTTATGGACTGGATCCTGGCTAAGCAGAGAATGAAGGTGCTTCAGATCTGGACAGAAGGCTAAGAACAGAGGCAGATTCAGTAAGAGAAGGAACAGACAGGACATTGTAGTTGGATCTGCGTGTGGAATGTTTTTGGGAATAGTGGGTTGAGGTATGGCCATGACTGTGGGTAACTAAAGTTAAAAATGGTTCTTAAAGTCTCAAGGGTAATGTAAAGGAACACTTGAAGTGTGTGAGAGTCAGTTAGACTCCCGATGTACAGATGAATGTCAGTATATGCCTAGTTGGATATTTTCACTATTTGTTACTCACAGTGGAATACTGTGATAAAAGAAAAATAGGATTTGGGTTTTTGGTTTTTTTTTTAGATGTGCCTTTAAATTTATCCCTATGTAATTCAGTTTTTTTTTTAAGATTTTATTTATTTATTTGAGAGAGAGAATGAGATAGAGAGAAAGCACGAGAGGGGGGAGTCAGAGGGAGAAGCAGACTCCCTGCTGAGCAGGGAGCCTGATGCGGGACTTGATCCCGGGACTCCAGGATCATGACCTGAGCTGAAGGCAGTTGCTTAACCAACTGAGCCACCCAGGCTCCCTGTAATTCAGTTTTAAAGCAGTTTTGTATTTAAGTCAAAAGATCTTTTTTTTTTTTTTACAATTGCACTTTATTAACTTATATAGGTAGAGATGATAATTGCTTATGGTGTCTTTGTAAGCCTTTTGAAACATGTCCTCATAAAGGCTTGAGAAAAGGCTCTTTTTTTTTAACTGAATTATACTTTATAATGTGAAATATTTACTTAGAAGTGTTTATAATAATTGTGGAGAAATTTATAGATATTAAAACTTTTTTTCAAGTTTTGTATTTTAATTTAGGGAAAAATGGCTGCATTGACTCTGATGTTTTCTATTTAGTAAATAATAAAAACAATGATTTTTTTAAAATTTGAAATTACTATACATTTAATACTTACATAATAGTTCTAATCTTTTTATTTTCAGATTGATGACACAGATGCTATGGAAGATGTACATTCTCTGCTTACTGATGTTCCTCCTCCTTCAGGTGAACAGAAAAAACTTACTTTTGAGATGAGACTAGTTTTATATATCAGTATTTTAGTTCATAAATTATTTTTTAGGCTTTATCAGTGTCACATCCTGTCATGTACTTTGCTGCTCCAAGGCTAAAAACCATAGTTTAAAGTGGTGGGGGGTGGGAGGGATGAGGTGGCTGGGTGATAGACACTGGGGAGGGTATGTGTTATGGTGAGCACTGTGAATTGTGTAAGACTGTTGAATCACAGACCTGTACCTCTGAAACAAGTAATACATTATATGTTAAAAAAAAAAAGAGAGAAGATAGGAAGGGAAAAATGAAGGGGGGGATATCGGAGGGGGAGATGAACCATAGAGACTGTAGACTCTGAGAAACAAACTGAGGGTTGTAGAGGGGAGGGGGTTGGGGGAATGGGTTGGTCTGGTGATGGGTAATAAGGGGGGGGCACGTATTGAATGGAGCACTGGGTGTTATTCGCAAACAATGAATCATGGAACACTACATCAAAAACTAATGATGTAATGTATGGTGATTAACATAACAATAAAAAATTTAAAGAGAAAAAAAATATTTATGTTAGAACTTAGGTGAACTAAGGGGGCACCTGGCTGGCTCAGTAGAGCATGTGACTCTTGATCTTGGGATTGTAATTTCGAGCCCCATGTTAGGTGTATAGATCACTAAAAACTAAAATCTTAAAAAAAAGTATATGTGAACTAGATTTTTTTTTTTAAAGATTTATTTTATTTATTTGAGAGAGAGAGAGCTCACCTGCACGAGCAGAAGGAGGGGCAGAGAGGGAAAGGGAGAGGATCTGAAGCAGACTTCTCACTGAGCACAGAGCCTATGGGGCTTGATTTCCCAGGACCCTGAGATCATGACCAGAGCTGAAATCAAGAATCAGATGCTTAACTGACTTGAGCCACCCAGGTGCTCCTAGGTGAACTGATTTTTAATCCTTTTATGTTCATACATTTAAAAAAAAAACCAAACTGATAATTTGTTAAGATGGTCTAAAGCTTACTGAAGGTGTAGTGTTTTAGAAAAAAAGAATAAATAGATCTTATAGTTAGAATTCATGTAATAAGTGAAAAATGTTATTCTTTAACATAAAAATAGATGAAATATCAAATAGTTTAACTATGATTTATTTTGACAGGCTTTTATAGTTGTAATACAGAAATTATGCCTGGTATAAATAACTGGACATCTGAAATACAGGTAAGCCTTTCATAATTCTAAGCAAATACAACATAATGTGATTTTAGCAAGTTCCTTCTTATGTTTTCTCTTTGACCACCTTATTGCAACTAAAATGTTAGCCTTTTTCATACCACATTATTTATTATTACTCATTATTTGGCAGTTTTATCAACTGTTACAGCATTTAGTTAAAAATAATAAAATGACATGCTATTATATCTCCCCATATTTAGATGTTCACATCAGTAAGAGTAATCCGATTAAGCAGCCTTAACCTGACTAATCAAGCCCTTAATAAGAACTTTAATGATCTCTGTGAAAATTTGCTCAAGGTAGGAACTTTTTGACTAACTATATTTTAGTTAAATCTCCTAAGAATTATGAAATTAAAAAAGTGTGTATATTATCTGGACTATCTTACACAGTTGTGGGTTGAATGATTTTTATTTATATATTGTATTAATCTTAACTCTCACTGGTAAAATGCTAAAGCTGTCCTCTCCATCTTAATATGCCACACTATTAAAGAAATACATTTTAAGTTATTTCATAATTTTAAGCTTCATAGAAATCTATTGTATATATAAATGAAAAATTTTTTCTTATATTTTATGACATTGATAAATATGATTAAATCTTATTGTCTGCTTAAATATTTAAAATAATGTAAGAATACACAAAATAGAAATGGACCAGCTTTGTTTTAATCTTTTGAACTTTTCTTTTGCCATGATGTAATGTTCAGTGAAAAATCAGTTTTGAAAAATTTTTAGGGGCGCCTGGGTGGCTCAGTCATTAAGCGTCTGCCTTCGGCTCAGGTCATGGTCCCAGGGTCCTGGGATCGAGCCCCGCATGGGGCTCCCTGCTCGACGGGAAGCCTGCTTTTCCCTCTCCCACTCCCCCTATTTGTGTTCCCTCTCTCGCTGTGTCTCTCTCTGTCAAATAAATAAATAAAATCTTTAAAAAAAATTTTTTTTAAATGAAAAGAAGTGATATTAATATTTTCTGTTATTTAGAGCCTGTATTTTAAACTGCGGTCTATGATCCCCTGCTGCCTTTGTCATGTAAATTTTACAGTATCTCTGCCTGAAGATGAATTAATACAGGTAATTAAGATTCAGTTTATTGTTAAAGAAGATTTCTAACATTTATCTGATGTTTTAATATTATAAATCTCCCATAATTGAATAAATATAAAGGATTTTACTTCAAAATATTTTTAAACAAACACAGTAGAATGAATCAGACCACGTATGTTTTATTTTTCTGAACTCCAAATTATCCAAAGGTAGAATCACATTTCTAGCATATATACAATAGGATGTGTTCTTATGTGGGATTTCTTTGGTCTCCATATTTTAGAGAAGGTACTTGAGCTCTTTCTGGAATATCTAGGGTTAGGTATATGTGTCAGACTCAGTTGTAGTCTAAATATCTGAGGTTATCTAATTCTGGTTGAGAATCTTAACCAGCAAAAGCAGATTAGCCAGTTAATATAAATTGTTCCATTGTACTGAAGATTTTTGAGAAACTTATTTTGTAAGTGATTATTTTGCTAACCATATTGTTTCTGTAATTCTAGGTTACAGTCACAGCAGTTGCAATAACTTTTGACAAAAATCAGGCTTTACAGACTGCAAAAACACATGTTGAAAAGTCATTGCAAAGAGGTAAACCTGTGATGGATGGGAGCATAGTTAATGTTTGTCTACAGTTATAGTTAAGTGAAAAAGGTAGATTAAATAAATGACTTGTTTCTTGAAGAAGAGATACTGTCACTTTTTCTGTTTATCAAGCTAACTTTGTGGTTGACTTGGTATTTTTCACACGTGAATAGCTGGTTGACAGGTGTTTATTTACATGGAGAATGCTGCTATTTTTTAGACTTAGGTTATAGCATATTCTGTGGTAATTTAGAGGTTTCTGTCCTAGGATCTCTGGGGAGGTCTTCAAGGCATCTGAGAACCTACTGATGTACTGAGCACCACATATTTTTCTTAGGAAAGGTCCTCAGAGTTGTCCTTTATCCAGTAAAAATCTAGGAAGTACCATTTTTAATATATTCCAAAGAAACTCAAATTGTTAAAAATTGCTATGTGTTCTGAAAAAAGGAGAGGGAAATAGTATGCTTTCTAAAATTTAAGTACTTAGCAGCTAAATAAAATATTCACGATTAGTCTAAAATTTTTATAGTTGATTACATTCTACATGTGAAACATTAAATTAATGTCAAATAGAGATGTATTAAACAATTGCGTTCAGATATTTATCAAAGAAGATAGAAAATAGCTGGTTTAAGTATCATAGAACCAGTATGGTACAAAGAATAGGATAATAATAGTTGTTATTGAGTTCTTATTATTTGGAAGGCATTGTGCTAAGAGATTTATACTTAGTATTTTTTCGAAGACTCACAACAGTCCTAGCAGGAAAGATAGCATCTCTCATGATTGTGCAGGTGAAGGATGGGTCTCCTTGGGAGAAACCAAGAAGAAAATAACCAGAATAAATTGGATTGGGGGAAATATATTTTATCCCAGATTCTTAATTTAAAAAAATTAATACTAGATCATTACTAAATAACCAGTGTTTTTCTTGCCTCTCAAGCCTCTACAGATAATGAAGAACTTCTGCAGTTTCCACTGGAGCTCTGTTCAGATTCACTTCCTTCTCATCCTTTTCCACCAGCTAAAGGTTGGTTAAGTGAGAGAAATGCAAACACAAATCCTGGTTTCTAGTTCCTTTTACTTCTTCATTGTAGGCAGTTTTACTTAATCCTGAGATGATTTATTCTTCATTCCCTCATTGTCTATTTCTTCATGTTCATACAGGGGAGAGAGTAATATTCCTCTTATTTTAATTTCTCAAGTAATCTCATCATAAATTATTAAAGTTTAAGGAGCATCATGTGATGTTCCATTCTTATACTTCAAATGTATTAAAATTTTATTTTCAGAGATCTGGATCTCCCAGAGTAACTATTCACACGTGATATATTGATACTTATATCTGGTAAGGTTTTTTCCAGCCACAATAGAAATTTTACAAAAATTTTTAGATTTTTATAAACAACAAAATACTGATTTTCTTCAGAAGAAATGTGGAGAGAGGTTTGGGTTGGGGTAGTACAAGTGAGAAAGGGATGAGCTGTCTTTTGAGTGTCTTGGTTATTATTGAGGAACATTGTTATGTACTTCAAAAGATTCTGCCCTATTTTCAAATGCAAAATGATAGTCTCTTAACTTAATAGCAGTTAAATCTACCTAGATCTGTACTAATGGGAGGTAGTATTTTCTATTTCTCTTCTGATTTCAGGGCAATTTTTATTATACGAATATTCAGAATTACTATACCTTATTTCATAGCATTAGTTATGATGCAGAATAGTTTTACATTCACATTGCATCTATGTCAGTAGAGTCTTTACTAAATTAGTGCAAGGCCTGTTTATGTATGTAGATAAATGGATCTTGTTTCATATTTTGAAGATGAAAAGATAAGCTACTTTCAGATTCTGAACTTTCTAACATGGTAACTGTGGTCTTCTTTCTTTTTTTATCTAAATTAAAATTCTAATTTAGAACTCAATAGAGAATTTTAGCATAATGGAACTCCTTGAAAGGACAGGAAAAAATCAAATCCAACGATAATTTGAGTTCTGATTCATAAATTAAATACAGCTTCCAGAACAAAAAGAACTGTGAAGAATCTTCCTTAGAACTGGCTAGACAGAATTTTTTTAAAAAACACCTACTTTATACAGAAACTGGTATTTAACATAAGGTTAATTCCAAATCACTTTTAGGTGTTGTTTCGTTTATCCTTACCCTGCAATGGAAGGGGTGCGATGTGGAGGGGGGAACCAAAACCAAAAATCTAATCAGCAACAACAAAAAGATTTGATCAATTGCTAATATATAGGTATATATATTTATGCAGATCGGGTCCCTATTAGCTCAGTTTTACCTTGTTAATCATTACTGATTTCTGCAGAAGATTGGATTTAAATTCTGTAAATTTGTCATATCTACATTGATACCTTGCAGTTTCTGCATTAGTTTTCAAAATGTTTTCAAAGGTAATTAGCATTCGTGCTTGTGGGTCATTAGTCTATTTTGTACAAATGATACTCTGAACTGAAGAACAACAAAAGAAGAATTTGAGTAGAATAAGTCCTATCTGAACAGTACTTAAAATATTGCAATTTATTTTTTAGTGTGGAGAGGGGCCATAAAGTGGAGTCATAAAGTAGCAGACCTCGATTCTCTTCTCAGTTCTGCTACTGATAGTGTGAGAACTTGGGCCAATTAACCTCTAATAAGCCAGTTAAGCCTCAATTCCTCATCTGTAAAATGTGAAAAGATTAAGATTCTCTCTACCCTTTAAAATTCTGATTCCTTGGGTTTGTGTGGTTTATGGTTTTTCAATAATTAACATGTTTCTATTATGAAAAACAAATCAAAAACCAGTTAATCAAAATCAAAAACTAGTGTTACATTAAAAATTTACAAATAGTTTCAAATCTGTTAAACCAGTAATTTTTAACCTCTGCTTCTCCAAACCATGGAGTTTCTTCAGAGGTACCTCACGGCCTTCTAACAGGCAGGGTGGGAGGGGCTGAGGGGAGAGTGGAGGAGTCTCTGGACCCCCTTCCCACCCTTGAACTGGAGCAGCTTCGATTCGGTGTGCTTTTATTTATTGATTTTCTGTATGTGATTTTGTTGTAAGACAGAGTTTCAAAAAGTTTGAAAACCACTGAATCAGATCATGCTGCCATCATCGTCATTTTCATAGTGTTCAATAGCATTACATCTAATACTAATATATATAAAACTTTCTTACTAAGTATTAACTGTAAAACTTATATGCTTTTCCTTGAATGTTACATTTTAAAATCATCAGTAAACACTAGTTTACCTGTACCTTTTTATAAATCGTTGTGTAAATTGTAGTTTACATTGCATGCTTATTTACTGTCTTTGCTTTCTCAAGGCTTTTCAGGAGGACATGGGCTATCCTAAATATACTTGAAAAAGTTATCACAAAGTATTTTGGAAGATTTGAGGATAGAGGGCTTTTGAAAAGGTCTGAAAAATGTAATAGAGTGTAATATATGAATGTAGTAATTGAGCATTGTAACATAAAAGGTTTTAAATAGGGAATAGAAATATGTGGCAAAAGTTAAGCTTAGCAATTTAGAAGTAACAAGCAAGAGAGGAAGGTAAGGGTGCTAGGAATAAATGCTCAAAAAATTTCTCTACTTTCTTATATGCAACCACAAGAGGCTTAAAAGTTAACTGCTAATATTGATAAGTAAATAAATGTATAGTTTTTATGGTTTTGTTAGGTCAATTCGCTAAGCTGATGGAGCTTTTTCCTTTTTTTTAAATTCTGAAAACTTTGAATCCTAATTTTCCTGTTCTTATTACAAATGTGATTCAATAAAATTTTTATTTCTTTTATGTTGACAGAGTAGTTTCAAGAGCTATGCACAGTATATATTAATACTTCCATCTTTTAACTTGTAGATAAACCTTTCTGATAGTTATCTTTTTATGTTACTGAAAGTGAGTGAATATTATGTGAAGAAAAGATGCTTCAATTACGTGTATCCTAATTCACTGTGTAGAGTAAGCCTGGGCCTGAATTGTCCATCCATGTTCAATTTTTTCCTTTCATCTTTTGTTATATTTAGTTTCGTTTCTCAAGGTAACAAAACAGTTTGATGTTGGTTTGGTTACCTTGCTCTAAGTATTTGATTTTTCTGATTTGAAATATTAAAAGGTGCTGAGCCTGAGTAATTTCTTCCAGGAAATTATCATGTGAAGGTCATCAAAATTCTTGATGAATACTAAGGAAAATAGATGATTGGCATCAATGTAAATTACTTATATGAGGCCGTATTATGAGAAAAAGGATGGTATAACAAACTTTTTATACCACTCCCATGATGTTTTTTCCTCATCATTAATGTCTGTACTTTAGTTTTCTGAATATTTACTACTTTACTCTGAAATGGTTTTAAGAGACTTTATAGTTATCAAGGGATAGAGCAAATACAGTAAAAATGGAGAATCTGAGTGACAGTAATCTGGGTGAAAAGTAAAAAAAAATAAGATTTGTTTTACAGACTGTAGTTGATCTCAGAAATTTCATATGCATGTAGTTTTTATAGAAGGTTAGCATATTATTTTTGATACATGTCTGAAGACCTAAATCTCGATATCTTAGATACCATTCTGTGGGGCTTAAGATCTTAGATAAATGTGTGTGAATCATGTGCCACTATAAATATATCAAGTACTTTATAAGTTCAGTCTATAATAGGATGATAGTTTTCATTAAAATTCTGAGAGTTTAAGCCTTTAAAAAGGTTTAATTAAGTCAATTTAGTTTTTATATACTGTTGGGTGAAACTGTATAGAAGAAAGGTCTTTTATACCAACTTTGTTCCTGCTTTCATTTTGCTTTATGCTGGAGTGATAGCCTCACGTTCAATGGCATAATAGGCTGGCAGGAGTACTCTTTTCATTAAGCAGCTGCCGGTTAATGTGACAAGCATAGGTCAAAATCTGGATTTCACTATAAAAATAAAACCCTCAATACATTGTACTCCATAATTAGGTATCACATTTGAAGTTTTCTTATCTTTATTTTTATTGAGGCTATAAGCGTTATTTTTTTGTTAAGCCAAATTTGATTCTAAAAGGTAGTTTAATTTTTTAAATTTAATGGCTTGCCTTACATTTTTTAAGCTAGTGATTAGAAATATAAACCTATAAAAACTACAAGAATTAGCTTTTATTTTATCCTGCCAATGAATGGTTCTAAATTCTTAACAAATGTTAAACAATTCTTTGCACAAACTAAAAATATCTTTATGTATTAACAATTCATTGCATGTCTGTTTTTTCTCTCTTTTTAAAATGTATTTTATTGGGGCGCCTGGGTGGTTCAGTTGTTAATCATCTGCCTTCGGCTCAGGTCATAATCCCGGGGTCCTGGGATCGAGCCCCACATCAGGCTCCTGCTTAGTGGGAAGCCTGCTTCTCCCTCTCCCACTCCCCCTGCTTGTGTTCCCTTTCTTGCTGTGTCTCTCTCTGTCAAATAAATAAATAAAATCTTTAAAAAAAAAACAAACAAAAGCAAAACATAAAATGTATTTTATCATTATGACCAAATAGTAGCAAAAATAAAAAGTGCTGAAGTTCTCCATGTTATTGATGTCCCCAACAATTAGTAAGATGTCCTGAAAGGAAGAGAGATGCTGAGGGGAAGGAGTTTGAAGGGAGAATAGAAAGTAAGGAGTGGAAAACGTATGAGAAACTTATCCCAGACATGGGAAGGAAGGAAGGAAAGAGAAAATTGATGGAGAAGTAGAGATAAGGAATCTTCGCTTCTTCAAGGCAACTTGAGTTCAGTGAAATCCAGAGTCTGAGGAAGAGGGAGTAAGCAACAAAGAAAATTGAATTGGGTTACTAATGAAAATAGGTATTATTTGGAAGAGAAAATCTGAAGGGTGGGAGGGAGGGGAGAAGTGGATGCCTGGAAACAGAGGCAGGAAAATAGAAGCTGGGGATTGAAGAAAAGTGGTTTAGGCTGTTGTACACCTTTAGCTGGAAGCTTTAATGACCCAAAATGAGAAGCTAATTGTGTTTGTTATCTAATGTATGTATTGTGATGGTAGTTGAGTTTTTCCCCTTAGTGGGCTATGCAAATTGAAGCTATTTATATTTTTCTCTATGCTTTAATAATTTTTAGCTATAATACGGCAATTTCATCATCAATCCACCAATATTTGAATACCATTATGGGCAAGGTTTATACACATAATTTGTTTAAGTCCGTCATTAAGCCAGATTTTATAGTTATAGGACATAGCTAATCAGTGCATTATAGATTGATGGAAATGCCGCAGAGACATAAAACCAAACTTTGATCATAATAACTTAAAACTGAGACTGTTTAGGGACCTGGGTGGCTCAGTCAGTTGTGTCTAACTCTTGGTTTCGGTTCAGGTCATGATTTCAGGGTCCTGGAATCGAGCCCCATGTTGGGCTTTGCACTCAGTGAGGAGTCTGCTTGAGATTCTTTCCCCCTCCCCCCATGCACACTCTCTCTCTAAAATAAATAAAGTCTTTTTAAAAAGTTTAAAATACAAAGCCCAAGAATGTTTTTTTAATTTTTTTAAAGATTTTATTTATTTGAGAGAGAGAAGCAGACTCCCCGCTGAGCAGGGAGCCAGACATGGGGCTCCATCCCAGGACCCCAGGATCATGAACTGAGCTGAAGGCAGATGCTTAACCCACTGAGGCGCCCCTGTTTATTTTTTTAAAAAAACAATTCATTTTTAAAAAGATATTATTTATTTGAGATAGAGCGAGAGAGAGCACGAGCAGGGGGCAGGGGGAGAGAGAAGCAGACTCCCCGCTGAGCAGGGAGCCCGGCTCGGGGCTGGATCCCAGGACCCCTGAGATCACAACCCAGACAGAAGGCAAGCAGCCATCTAAGCGCATCCCCTACCCCCCCCAAGAATGTTTAAATAACTAAATAAAGTATATATTTTTAAAGACTTCAGATTGCATATGTTTTCTTTTAAGTAGGCTCCATGTGCATCATGGGGCTTGAACTCACAACCCCAAGATTAAGAGTTATATGCTCTAGGCACTGAGCCAGCCAGGCACCCCAGATTACATATATTTTAATCTGCCAGAGAATGTTCAGAAGTTTCAGGAACTTTTTTTAGTTTTAGTAATTTTCTTAAGATGACCAGATAAGATTATCTCAGATATTTTTAAATTATTCAGAACAAAGATGATCTGTAAATTCTAACGATATAAAGCGAACAACTTGTCAGAGGAGTTAGTGATCAGCGTAGAGCTTTATCATAGCCAGCTGATACCTTTGTCATTCGTTATGACTATTTAGAAGAATGGAGAAGTCTCAAATTTCAGAAGCACTGGAGCATGTATAATTGAGGGAGGAAGAATCCTTGCCACATCGTTTTCTGTTGGTCATCAATATGCTCATTTCTACTCAACTGCTTTTAACCTAGGTTAGTCCCCCTCCCCACTGCCAGGACTTGTTAAATACTGTTAGAGTATACTAAGAGAATAATAAAATCTTATGTTCTTTTTGCCTTGCTGACTTCCTAGGGTGGTTCATTTATGGATAACAGGGTTATCACCTACTGGTGACTTTTTAATGGAGCAGAATAATCATTTTCTTGTATCCAGTGGGAAAGGAAATTGTAAAAGATGTGGGCTGCTGTGTGGCTTGATTGAGACTTTCTGCAGCAAAATGGGAGGAACCTAACATAAGAAGTGTTTGTCTCAAACTCTTCTACATAGATCAGGCTGACGATGGGCATTAGCTCCTCAACAAAGCCCAAAAGATTTTAATAAGATTTCTAATCCTGAATATGAAATATGTTGTCTTTTTTTTTAGAGATTACATATGGGTTTATTTCTTTTTCACCATAATTACTAGTGTATCAATGAGCCAGACAGCTAATACCTGCCATACTTTCTGTTTTGAGAAGCCTATTACCTTGGAAGCCAAACTGTAATTGGAAGAGCAGAGTGACTGAGAATCTGAGGTCATTAGATAGCTGAGGTATTCAAATGTCTGAGGTGCCAATGTTCAGCTGTTCCCAGGACCATCTCATCTTGGGCCTTTTCCCTGAGAGAAAAATTAAGATCCTAGCAAACATGTTGGATGAACTTGCTCTCCTTAAGTAAGATAAAAAAAAATCATCTATTTTAACCTTTCCCTTAAGCATATCTGCAATTTACAAAGGGAAGAAAGAGAGAGAGAGAGAAACAGACTTAATTATAGAGAACAATCTGATGGTTACCAGTGGGGAGGGGAGTGGGGATGGGTTAAACAGATGATGGGGATTAAGGAGTGCACTTGTAGTGAGGGGCACTGGGTGATGTATGGAACTGTTGAATTACTATATTGTATAATTGAAACTAATATAACACTGTATGTTAACTAACTGGAATTAAAATAAAAACTTAAAAATTAAAAAAATTATCTGCAATTTAAAAACTTTTTTTTCCAGATATTAATTCAAATACATTCATATGTGGAGGCAGGGAAAAGACCCACTTCTCCACCCTTTGTAAAATTTTTTGGGAAAAGTAATAAATGTGCATGGTGAAAAATTCAAATCTTACCAAAAAATCATACAGTCCAAAATCAAACTCCCTTCTCCATTCATTTCCCTTTTCAAGAGGCAACTACCCTCAACCAGCTTTATTGTCGGTCTTTGCAAAGATATTGTTTATTTTTTAAAAAAACAAGTATTTTACAGATCATTGTGTACTTTTTTTTCCCACTTGATATTTAGAGATGAGAGCAGATACTTTCTACATGTTTAAGCTCTTGTTGTGGACATTTGTCATTAAGTTATACATAGTTGCTACTGGGGAATTTCATATTACCCAGATAATACTGAGACATAGAAGATAGTTTCATTTTAGTCATTTTCACATTATTTTTTAGCTTTTGCCCCCGTTCCCTCATTTTTAAAAACTTGCACAGAATTCCTAATGCCCACTATATTTTCTGTAAGTCTGTACTCTCCCAAGTCTGTACTGCATAGGACATAGGAAAGCCCTGGGACTGTCCTGGCATTTGTAAGCTTGGGTAAATATTTGCTGTCCCAGCTTCTGCACTACAGCCTTTTTCAGTGCTGAACTAGCTGTCCCTTAGAGATGTGGTAAGCTTCTGAATGTCAGTTCTGTTCTGGTCTCCTTCCTGTCAGTTCCATCTCCTTCCGGGCTTCCAAAGCTCCTCAGGATCCTGAATCAGGGAGGATGTTTTCTTGCCTAGATCTTCAGTCTGAGGGCTTGATGGTCAGGGCACATCCATAGCATGGTACCCTCATAGTCATTTTGTGGATCCTGCCTAGTGATCCCATTTACTCAACAGCCCAGTATTATAAGAGGAATGACAGTCACTATACACTTTCCAGTATTAGCTAATGGTCACTTGCTTTATAAAAATGGGAAGAGGGGGAGTATGAGAGATACTCCCATTGTACCCAATTAGCAGAAACCTGTACAAATCTTATTTTTAAAAGGTATAACTTTTATTAATTTAAGAATATTACCAAAAGATTAACATATTAAGCAGAGATAAAAATATGTATTTAATTTATAAATTAAAAAAAAACTGGGTGACAAATTATTCTCAATTTTTTTTAGTTATTTCTAACTTGGCAACACTATTTCAGTTACAAAATTCTTTGAAACAAAAAAATATGCTAATGTAGGTAGAGTCTGAACTTTAAAAAATAGATTAAGAAGTTTTTTTTTATTAGTGCTGCTTAAATTTGTATAATACTTTAAATAGCGATAATAAAAATACAAAATACTAAGGAAAATTCTGGATGCTCCTTTTACAAGGTTACTGGAAAGGGAGTGATTCCAGTTTGGGATCTAGTTCTATCTGTGGGGAGCACTTTTTAGTTCTATGACGTCTTGATACCACCAGAGGGAGCTGTTGATAGTGAAGTCCCTGAATGAAGGGGGGTTGGCAAAGGGGAGGGTTATGGCTAGTAAGCAAGCAGTTTGTGTTTATCTGTGATACATAGGTCATTGCCTGGTATGTAATTTTTAATCTTATTGGCTCTTCCCCCCCCCCCGCGCCCCCACGCAAACATTTTCCTTCCATGTTTCATTTCAGATTTTCTTCCTAATACATTGATGCTTTTCTCTGGTCAGTTTTCTCACCCTGCTTTCATCCTACTAACATTTGTTACTATGTTTATATTTTCTCATGTCTATAATGTTTCTGAAACTCTTCTTGTTTTACAGTAACAAGTAGTCTTCCTTGGCATGATATTTATTAAATGAGCTAGTTTTCATAAATCAATAGAAACTGCATTTAAAACCTAAATACTTCTATTTGGTTTTCTTTTTATAATGAAGCCATAAAGATATCCTCGTATTCATTTGGCTTATAGAGGTATTAACAAACAGCAAAGAAGAGATACTGGCTTGTACTTAGCATTCAAGCTAATGTTGTTCATATTGTCTTATTAGAACACCTGGAGAGTGCAAGTTCTAACTCAGGTATACCAGCTGCACAGAGAGGTGAGTTTGTCTAATTAAGCAAATAGTCACCAAAGGTGTGAAATTCTAGTGTGGTGGTGCATAAACATACAGACATTGGAGAAATGCACTGGACAGTGGAATAGACACCAAAACATGGCTTTATTATAGTTAGAATGTGTCTTTTAAAATATTAATTAAACTAATATTTACATTTTTAGCATTTTAATAGTTTCCCTGTTTCTAAAAATAAAATCTTAGCTCTTTAACATTTTTTAGCTTAGTAATAGTAAAAGCTATTTTTTTTTAAAAAGGAGAACTTGTTAGACTCCCACCTGCCTCCCCGCTCAATGTCATCAGAAGCTTTGTTGCCAAAATCAGATGTGAAAACAGAATATTGACCAAAGTGACCCTTTGGCTTTCCTGTTACTGATGGTAGAAAGAATGTGTTTTAATAAAAGATAAGTCAACTAGTAATTTTTTTAAATGTATTCTTCAGCATTTGATTCTCATTTTTTTGATTTTAAGGTAAAAATAGGGAAGGGAATTATTCACAAAGTTTGAATTGTAAATTAAAGTTATAAAATACAGACAGTTAAAACATTGTAAAGTAAAAAGAATGGGAAATAAAATTAGTTAAAGCAGTGTATGGTCCTTTCACTGATATTTCTGTTAGACCTTGTTTCCATTTCCTCTAAGCGACCACACCACTATGATATCACCAAAAACGCTCAGCCAGCTAATTGAGAACTTGGTTTTGGACAAATCAGTGTCTAAAGCTTGACTCTTTACTATCTCTCATATCTGACTTGAAAAGGACCATTCTTTTTCTAAGTTACAGTTAAATTACGTCATCAGAAGGAGTGTTATGACGAGTAAGAGACGTCATCCATATTTTTTCTTTGTTTTTTCTTTTGTTTTCTGTCTGTGTTTTCAGCAACGTCAGTTGATTACAGTTCCTTTGCAGACAGATGCAGCAGCTGGATAGAGCTCATTAAACTGAAAGCTCAGACCATAAGGCGCGGATCAATTAAGACAAGTAGGCGGATGTTTCTACCACATTATGATCTGAGAAGCATATCCCTGATTTCCCAGTGGTGAAGGCTAGACCTTACTATCCAGTAATAACATTGCCAATCAATCATGTATTGGAGTGTGAAAGCTGCAGACTCTAATGGTCACTTAGCAAAAGTTATTGAAGGGCCTTTAGATTTGTTCATTTTAACTGTACAGTTTTTTTTAAAATTTTACTTTTTGTGAAGGTATTCTTAAAAGTTTATAAATAGATATTATATCCTTCTAATGGAAGGAAATTATGAGCTCTCTTATTGAGACATTCTTCCAGGACCCAAGCTACTATGTAGTAGATGACATCTGTTAGTTTGCTAAGAGTGATATCCAAAGGGCTAAAAGAATGAGGTATTTCTGAATAGAAAGTAGTTAATTCTTATCTCATTGCTAGAATCAGCATCATAACTTACATGTTCTTTATACTCCATGTGTTTTGGTAGACTCTGAGGTAAATGTATTTGAGTGAAAGAATTTACATTAAAAAGGAGGAAACAATGTTTTAGAGGAAAGATCACAGGATATGGAACCAGCCAGATCTGGTTTGGGATCCTAGAAGTGTCATTTTAATAGCTGTGTGACCTTGGACAAGTTATTTAACTTCTCTGAGCCTCAGTTTCCTCATGTGTAAAATGGGGATAATAATACCTATGTTGCTGGGTTGTTGTAAGGATCAGATACATATACATATATATGTCTGGCTTATGGTAGTTACTTGTCAAGTGGTAGCTATTATTTATGTTACTTTATAAACAATCAGCTTTTAGACAGCCAAGGTCATTTGTTAAGTTTTTAAAATTATGAGTTTGATCAAAAAGGTTTGGAGAAGAAACCTATTACAACTAGTTAACATAAGGTTTATCTACAAGTTGACAATGATGAAGTCGTCTGAAAAAGATGGAAAACACTGCACTGGGAAATATAACAACTTTCACACTCTCTTTGTAATAATTTGTTCCTACAGCAGATAATTTTTAATGCTCTACTGCTTTTTCTTTTTCTTCACTTTATAACAATCATTGTGTGTGTAGCTACACTGCATCAACATTTTCTTTTGCAGGAATGCCATTTTTCTTCCAAAAGAATTCCATTCCAGCATTTCCTCTTAAGTTGTTCTTTCTCTCTCTTTTTAATTGCATGCAGTGCATGATAATTTCTTTACTTTCATGACATGGCTTAGCCTCACAGACAGCTGAATGTTGTCACCACTTATTTGGAAACCTTAGGGAATAATTGAGTTACCAACACCTGGTCTTGATGTTTTTTTCTTCTTTCTCCAAATTTAGCTGTGACAGTTGAAAAAGCAAGTCCTATGGGTGAAGGAAATTTCCGGAACCGTTCAACTCCACCTTGTGCAAATTCTACAGTTGGGGTTGTTAAGATGACACCTCTTTCTTTTATTCCTGGGGCAAAAATAACTAAATATCTTGGGATAATTAACATGTTTTTTATTCGGGAAACCACTTCTCTTCGTGAGGTAATTTTATAACATTGTTTTTGTGAATTTTCTGATTGAAGACATTAGTAACAAAACCAAACAAATTCCAGATTGTTATTTTTTGCCAAAGTAATCACACACGCGTGCGCATACCCACACCTTTTTGTTTTGTTTTGTTTTCAATAACCTGTATGGATTGATTCTAGATTAGACTTACTAAATTTCATATAGCACCTAGTATTATCACAAGAGTTATGTTGGATTTAATTTCATTTATTATTAGAAATCCCAGATCCTTATGATAAATAAAACAAATAAATTGATCTATGTTTGATTAGAGATTTGAAACAGCCTGAAAGAACAGCTTAGTTTCCTCAGTTATTTGTCTGAGATATATTTAAATAACAGTTTTTGAGGCCTTGCATTTAGAAATCATAAAGGACTATATTATAGATAGATGCCTATGGGGATGGTTTATCATTTTCTCCCCCTGAAAAAGAAGGCTGCTCATTTTATTCCCACCTCTCCAAAAGTACATGAGAATGCCGTTTATTCACATTCTTACCTCCTACTGGGTAACCGTAGTAATAATGTTTTGATGTGGTCAAATTTAAGAATTACAGTCAGCCTATTATATCTTTAATTACACAGGAATTTAAACTCAAGAAAAAAATTATTGTGTCTTACGTTATGAAATAAGGCTAGAGCAAATTAATATTGTGAATAGGGAAATTTTTTATTGAATAGGTATGAAACCCAATAAACTCCTCAGCAGTTTGTAATTTTTAAAAGTGTGTGCATTATAAAGATGACTTAACTATGCTTTTTTCCCGTTGTCTCACCGTCAATGTTTCTACACTTTCTTAGAAATAATAGTCCTCATACGATTTTTTTAAGTAGGCTCCATATGGAGTTTGAACTCATGACCCTGAGATCAAGATCTGAGCTGAGATCAAGAGTTGGACTTTTAACCCCCTGAGCCACCCAGGCACCCCAGCCCTCATGCTATTTTTTAATATCATGCTCACCATCCTGTACCTGGCACAGTGCCTGACAGAGTAGACATAGGTATTTTTGTGTAAATGAGGCAATGACTTCTGACAGATTGGTTAGATAGATGTTTCCTTTATGATACATTAGGTTTTAAATCATATTCTAATTGTGTTGAGATGGAAAAGACACTTAATGTATTCTCAAAACCCTTTTTAATATAGAATTAAAATAGGTGACACTTTTAAGCCCATTTAAGTTTGACAAAGTTGGGTGTGAGAAGCTGGTATAGATTGGTGAATTAACTTTCCAGTTGCTCTTAATGGTACATAGATATTGCATTATTGTAGTCCATAAAATTTTATTTCCTAAGTGCCTTCTCTACTGCTTAAGCAGCCATACTCCAAAATGTTGCTTCACAGTAGATTTCCCTTCAACAGAGATTTGTAATATTAACTGGATGGCATAATATCCCAAATTTATTCATTGCTTGATAAGTTATTTGCTTTCTATTGTGTAATCTTCTAAGAATTACCCCTCTGTAGTCTTTATTACTCTGCCATCAGAATTTCGAGATTTAAAAGGCAGGAGGAAAACAGATACAAGTTAAAGAAAAAAAATGTACTGAGCTATGACTGAGTTGGAGGTAGGCTGAAATACCTCAATTCCTTAATTACAAAGAGCTACCTTTATATGTAGGATCTATATATAGGATCCTCTGGCATTTTAGTAAGGTGTGATCTGGTCAAATGTTTTTAACAGTGCATTAAATTTTGCCCTTAACTTCCAGTTTAAAGTTGGAAATTTCTTCCTAGACTGTAAATAACCTCCAGTAGAATTCATGGAAAACTTAAGTTCTAAAGCATTTTAGGCTCTCAGCTAGACTTTGGTTTCTGTTTTATTTTTGAATACTGAAAACATTCCCTAAACTACTGGATTCATTCCCTAACAAATAGGTATGGAATGCTTAGTGTGTGCACCTATTGAACTAGGTGTTAGCATATAGTTATGAGCAAAACAGATGGCAGTCTCTGACCTGATGGAATTTACAGTCTAGTGAAATGGAGCATGGTGAACATTCAACAAATTATCATGTAACTAATGTATAATTACTAGTGATAGTAAGTAATATAAAGAAATACAATAGAGGCTATCAGAGAATTCAACAGGGGAACTTAATTTAGATCTGATAGGGAACATTTCTCTGAGAAAGTTACATATAAACAGGGACCTGAAGAATTGAGTAAGAGTTATCCTGGCGGAAAATTGGGTGAGGACCCTTCAGAAACAGCATGTACAGCATGCACCTAAGGCAGGAAAAGTGCTTGATAGGGTTGAGAAACTGATAAAAAGGCAGGTGTACCTGGAACATGCTTCGGAATGGGAGATACGGAGAGCAGAGTTTTATTGTTTATATTTACCATCAATTTCTGTGAGTGATAGGAATGATTTGATGGAGACGTTGAGGTTGGAGAAACAGTTTGAATTCTTGCTCTGCCATTTTTTATTACCTATGTGGTCATTGTCATGGGCATATGACACATTCTCTGACTTCAGTTTCATCATCTGTGAAGTAAGGATATTAATCCCCATCACAGACATGTGTTCAGTAAAGGTTTGTTTGTTCATTCATGCAACAAATCCGTTTTGAGGGAAATTAAAATGATCCATCCATTATATTAAGATTATTTAAGATGTTTTAATATATATTTTTTGGCATTTTATATACAGTCATGTCTACAGTTTGATTTTCTTTCGTATTATTTTCTAGGAAGGAGGAGTCAGTGGTTTTCTCCATGCTTTTATTGCTGAAGTGTTTGCAATGGTGAGAGCTCATGTTGCTGCATTAGGAGGGAATGCTGTTGTCTCCTACATAATGAAGCAGTGTGTCTTCATGGAGAATCCAAATAAAAACCAGGTGAGATGTAGTCAAAAACTTCTTTTGGGGGAACCTGAGGATTTCCCTCCCCTATGGCTTTCCCATCTCCCACCCTCCCCCCAACCTCCACCAAAGAGAATTGCTCTTCAGAACTTTTTGATTCTAGATGCCTGAAACATGTTTTAACAAATATATTAATAACCATGGTCATACATAGATCAGATGCTGTTTTCACATCTGGGGATTCTTAAATACCTCTGGAAGTTTAGCTCCTAAGTTACTGTGAGGGACAACCTTTAGTTTGGACTATGATCTGTCTAGTTCTAATTGCCGTAGTGGTGAAGAGTACATTCCAATTATTATTCCTAATAAATACTTCTGTTAGTGGGGGCAAAGAATTGTTGCTTAGGATTAATTTTAGAATAGATTTATCAGTATTGTTCATATAATGGCTCACTTAGAATTGTTAAAGTTTCCTTTAAAAAATTTAATTCTATCAGTGGGGTTTTTTTGAGTTTCCTTTCTTGTGAGTTGCCTTCTTTTTTTCCCCTTTGTTCATTTTTCTATTGGGTTGTCTATCTTTTCCAAGCGACTTAAAAGCCTGTGCTTTTTTAGCTATGTGGCACTGGCCCTAAAATAACAGAAAATTGTGAGCAGATTGTTGGGTTGGTGATTGAACATTTCCTGTTGTTTGTATAGGCACAGTGTCTTATAAATGTAAGTGGTGATGCAGTGGTTTTTGTTCGTGAATCTGAATTAGAAGTGGTGTCAACTCAGCAGCCTACTACCAACTGCCCCCCATCATGTGCTGGAGGAGAAGTTACAACCTGAAGTAAATCAGAAAGAGCTCAACTCAATGAAATTCATCTGTCTCCATTGTTTTATCTTTCATTATCTTACTGGACTTTTAAAAGTGAACTTAATTTGAGATAATTAAGAAAGAATTGGTACATTCTGAGTAGATTTGATTTATCTGGAATCTCTTGGAGGCATGAGAATTCTCAAATCTTGATGTTTTGTTTGCTAGTCCTAGTCAGGCCCCATGGAATCTTGACTCCTCACCAAGTTCAGATAGATTTCTCAAGAGAACTGTAGCAGAGATGGAAGTTACTGGTAATTTATGTTGACTTAAATAAAATCATACTTTGAAACAAAATGGTAAGATTATCAAGAAATTATAATAGCTATCCTAGTGTAATTGAGAGAAACTAAGCAAGAAATTTACAAATTGTCAATGAATAAAAAAATCTGATTTGAGGAATGTGTGAGAAAATGGAGAAAAGTTTTGAGAACACTATGTGGGTTTCCTAATAAGTTTTATTTTGAGAACAACTGAATTTGTTATTCGGTAACAACCGAAAGGAAAAATGCTTCAGCCATCTTTTAAAAAGAAGTTAAAATTCTGCAACTTGTATCCATACTGTATCCTAACTACTGTAAAAGAAAAAGTATTTATTAGAGCCAGTGTCCTTCCATTGAAAGTTCTAATAATGTCTGTAAGGAGCAAGGAAAAAACTATGTAATTTTGTAACTGGCCAAATTTTATTAGTGTTTACTTTGTCTAAAAGAGGCTTGGCTTTAACTGGAAGGAAAAGGTCAGTGAATTTTGTTGAAGTAGTTAGGGTATAATTGATCTAGTAGGAGCAAAAATTATTTCTGATAGAATCACACTGCACTCCTACCAAATAAACAGAATTGTATCTTAGGGATTTTTGATGGTGAGTTAGATTGTATTTGGCATAGAATTTGGAAATGTAACTTGAATGTAAATACGCTGCAAAGTGTTGAATGTATACATAGAAATACTTTTTCTGTCAATGCCAAATACCTATTGTAAATGAACCTTACAAAGTACATTCCTCCTTTGCACAATAAAATTTCTTTATAAAACTTATGGTTTTGCTCTTTCAGGATAACAAACTACCCTAAAGATTAGGAGTCATTTCCTTGTTATCACAGGTGTCAATATTTTTCTGTATTTTGTTTATAATTTTATTTTTTAAATAAAAAGTTTATAAACTGGAATATTGCTAAATCTCTTGTTTGCCTCCTTTGTGTAGTGTAGTACTGCCAGTAGTCTGAAATCACTTTCCATCTGGTCACCTCCATTCATTCCTGCAGTCAGCAAACATCCGTTGTGTAGCTGCTGTAATCCTTGGGGCACTTCATGGTCTTTGGTCGGTAGGCATTCACATTCAACAACTACTGAATGCCTACTAGATCCCAGGGCACAGTTTGAGGCAGTGAACAAAACACACTTAAGTTCCTATGATCACAGAGCTTATTTTCAGTGGCTACACAAGTAAATAATTTGTAAAATGTGCTGTGTGTATGTATATGTATATGTGTGTGTATATATTTATATGAATAAAGCTAAATTTTTAAATAGATATACATATACTATACATACTATTCATATATATGTGGTATATATATATGTTTATCGTGTGTATATGTATATGTATATACACACAGTATAACAATTGCTAATGTTAATGTTTACTGAATGCTTACTATATGCCAGGCAGTATAATATATATATTTATATATAATTTTAAAGATTTTATTTGTCAGAGAGAGAGTGAGCACAAGCAGGGGGAACAGCAGCAGAGGGAGAAGCAGTCTCCCCGCTGAGCAGGGAGCCCGATGTGGGGCTAGATCCCAGGACCCTGAGATCATAACCTGAGCCAAAGGCAGACACTTAACCGACTGAGGCACCCAGGTGTCCCTAATAAATATATTTTTGTATTAACCCTTTTAATCTTTACAGAAACCCTATGAGGTAGAGGTAAATATCATAGTTAAGCCCTATTTTATAGTTGAGGAAACTGAGTAGAGTTTGATCTGCCAAAAGATTCAAGCACAGGCAATCTGGCTCTGAAACCCACACTATTAAGTGAGAAGGTAGGCATAGCTTGAGATGGAGGTAGCTTCCCAAAGGAAATGATAATTTATTTTTATTTTTTTTAAAGATTTTATTTATTTGAGAGAGTTCGAGAGAGAGCATGAGCAGGGGGAGGGGCAGCGGGAGAGGGAGAAGTCAGAAGTCACTTAACCAACTGAGCCACCCAGGTGCCCCACGCATTATTACTAATTCTTGAACATGAAAGTAGCATTCGCTCCATTTTGGTATGAACAATTGTATACTCAACAGAGGCCTGCGCTGATTTCTAAAAGAGCTAGACTTTCCTTAACTACTCAGGCTTGCTCTCTCTCTGCTCACATGGGCCATTTGCTCATGTGCTCTACCTCTGAAGCATAATCAGCCCATGCCAAGCTAGGCTTCTTGCGGAAAAGCTAATGTTGCCCTATACCCCAAGAGCTGCTGCTCTTTCCTTCGTGTGGATTCCTCAAAAATGATAATTTTTACAGATGGGCTGGGACTTACTCTTTTGGGAATACTGAGGCCAGTTACAGTATTTATAGCAGGCCTCATATGTATCTCTTTCATTCGTTATTGCTGGTCCAAGGGTAAACTACAAAACTTAGCCAATGTTAGATTTGCTAACTGCACTGTCCCACTTCTTCCATCTCCTTTTCCCTAATCCATTGCAATCTGGCTTCCAACTCCTCTGCCCTTTGTATGCTAATGATACAAGTATTGGATTGCTGACAAGCTTTTTTTATACATACATACAATTTTTCATTAATGTATAGATGGGATTATATACACAATTTTAAATAGAGTGGCTTTATTTTTTACCTTTTTGCCTGGCTTTCTCCTCTTTCCCATCACATCTCTATTAATCTGCTAAGGAGTGATAATTTACATTCAATAAAATTAATCTAAATGTACAGTTCAAGGGGCTCTGACAAATAGGTTCAGTTGTGTAACCAAGGTAAAGAACATCCCCATCACACAAGAGAACATTTCCATCTTACACAGGCACACACATGAAAAAAAAAAACACATTTCCATCACCCCAGGTTTCCCTTCCGCCCTCTGGTAGTCAGTCCACTTCTCCTTTTTTGTAAATGGGATCTTGTGCTTTTTTTCTTTTTTTAAGATTTTATTTATTTGAGAGGAGAGAGATAGTAAGAGAGAGAGTACAAGGGGATGGAGGTGGGTGGGTAGGGAGAAACAGACTCCCTGCTTGGAGATCGATTCCAGAACCCCGGGATCATGACCTGAGCTGAAGGCAGATGCTTAACCAACTGAGCCACCCAGGTGCTCCAGAATCTTATGCTTGATAACTTTCACCTAGTGTAGTGGGTGCATCTATATAGAGACATTTTTGGCTATTATGAATAAAGCGATTTTTAAAATTGAGTTGGCACTTTTCTGTGAAAATTGAATTTCTCTTTGGAGTTTACCTTGTTGATAATTTGCCATGTGTTTGACAAAATTTCCCCTTATTTTGTTGTCCATCAACATAATTTATGCTACCTTTTTATATCCAAACATTTAATTTTATTATGGACAATATGACTACCTTTTCTTTCTTAGATTCCCTTAATTAAGATGATCTCCCCTTGATTTTTTGGTTATCTTGAAGGTTCCTGAAGGTTCCCCAAACATGTCCTGAATTGCTCTCATCTCGGTGGCTCCCCACCGAACTTGATACCCTTCCTTATTTCTTACTAGATAAATGCCATCACATTTAGTCAGTCTTAGCTTGAGCCAGATATCTGAGGGAGATTCAAAGCCTATACCTCTTCCACTACACCACCCAATTTCATGGAACAAGATGCATAAAAGTGTGGAGGTATGAAAATGCATGTTATATGAAAGTAACACATTATTTACAAACAGTTTTGTAGTTTTCCCTCTTTCCCCCCCCGCCAGGGGAGGGCCTTTCACAGAATACTTTGAGAATCTGACCTAAACTCTGCAACTTTACCCCAGAAAAATAAGCAAACACTTGAAATTCTGCATACTACCTCAGGAGGTTTATTGAAACATTGAAACCCCTAGTATAGAATCAATGGAGGGGAATAAGGAACCAGGTCGAAATAGAGATTAGGAATAATTGGGTAAATGCTATCTAAAAATTTGCCTTTTCCCCAGTAGGAAAGTCAAGATACTTTTAAGATTAGATTTTTAAATATTAAAAAACTTAGGGGTGCCTGGCTGTTTCAGTTGGTGGAGCACGTGAGTCTTGATCTTGGGGTTGTGGGTTCGGGCCCCCCGTTGGGTGTGAAGATTACTTAAAAATAAAAGATCTTTAAAAAAAAACCACACCAATATATCTATGGTAGGCAGAATAACCTCACCCCCTCAAAGATGTCCACAGCCTAATTTTCAGAACCTGTGAATATATTACCTTATAGGACAAAAGGGACTTTGCAGATGTGATCAAAGTTAAAGGCCTGGAGATGGGGAAATTATCTATGGTTATCTGCAAGGCTCCTAGATTCTAATCATAGGAAACCTCAAAAATGGAAGAGGAGGGTAGAAGAGTAGGTGAGAGAGATTCTATGAGAGGTGGACTCAAGCTGCCATTCCTGGCTTTGAAGAAGGTAGAAGGGAGCAACAAGCTGAGAAATGTGGGTGGCCTCTAGACTCCAGGAATGGCCCTCAGCTGACAGCTAGCAAGAAAATGGGGTTCTCAGTTCTATAACTGCAAGGAACTGAATTTTAACAACTCAAACCGGCAAGGAGATGGAGTCTTCCTTAGAGCCTCCAGAAAGGAACAGAACCCTGCTAGTGGCTTGATTTTAGCCTTGCAAGACCCATATCAGATTTCTGACCTAAGGAACTGTGAGATAATAAACTTATTTAAGCCACTAAGTTGGCGATAGTTTGTTATGGAAGCAATAGAAAACTAATACAAAGTTCTTATAAATTTAAACTATGGCCATATATAAAGTATAAAATTACAATATAGTGCTATTTATGGTAATATGAAATGCTTCACAAACTCAGGATATTAAGTACAGTCATATCTTTTATTTTTCTAATTAATTTTTTTGAATACCCACCCAACTAATTAGGATAAATCCAGAATCTCTCACCTTTGAGGTCGTCTCCACTTCTAAAATTGTCCAAGAACTCTAGGGGCTCAATGCAGTCCTCAGGACTTTAAGAGCAGCTTCCCCACCCAAGCTTTAACGTGAAGCCTCAGGAAGGTCTGTAGAACACTGTTGCGTTTGCTTCTCACTGCCACATGATGTCGCTGTTGGAATGTGTTCCGCACAGTAAAACAGTCGATGCTGGTCTCCCGCAGCGATGACGCCAAGATTCCTGCAAAGGTTTGCTTGATTCTTTAGCAGGTAGTCCTATTTCCTCCAGGACAAGGAAGCCTGCCAAGTTTCAGTTCCTAGTGCTCAATCCAACTGTCAATGGAGTTGTGAGAGTTTCCTATAAATTCTAGATATCAGAGGTTGGTTGGTTGTTTTTTTAATACGTATTTTGCAGACATTTTCTCTCAGTCTGTGGCTTATTTTGCATTCTTCAAACATTGTGTTGTGGGGAACAGAAATTTTTAATTTTGATGAAGTCGACTTTTTTTTTTCTTTTGTGGTTTGTGCTGTGTTCTAAGAAATTTTTGCCTGACCCAACATTGCAAAGGTTTTCTAGAAATTTCAGTTTTTGGCTTTACTTTTAGGTACATGATCATTTCAAGTTACATTTTGTATATGACGTGAGGTATGGGTTAAGGGTTTTCTCCCCCTTTTCCTCTCTTTTTTGCACATGGATATCCAATTGCTGAGCACAATTTGTTGAAAAGATGAACTTTTCTACATTTGCCTGACTTGGCATCTTTGTTGAAAACTGATTAATTGGTTGACCACATATAGATGTGTGGGTTTCTTTCTGGATCTGTCATGTGTTCCATGTATCTACCCTTTTTCTAATATTACACGATCTTGATTCTTCTAATTTTATAGGTCTGGAAATCAAGGAATGTGAGTCTTAAAACTTGGTTCACATTCTTAAAAAATATTTCTGACAATTTTAGTTCCTCTGTTTTTTCCATATAAATTTTAGGATAGCTTTATGTTAAAAAAAATCCTTTTTAAAATTGGGTTTGTGTTGAATCTATAGATCAGTTTAGGGATAATTGACAATATTGAGTCTTTTA